GTCTACATTGGAAGAACGACGACGACTATCCAGGCTCACCATGTTGTACAAGATAACAAATGGGCTGGTGCACTGCTCCGGAATCAAACAGAAACTCGTTCATCTTCCCCCCAGACTGCGACGAAGCCACGACAAACAGTTCCGGCTGGTAAAAACAAGAACAAAGTACAGAACTGGACTGGAACAAGCTTCCAAAAGCAACAGTTGATGCAGCTACACTAGACACATTTGTGTCTATTGCCTCCTGTATTCCAACCCCCAGTTCATAACACCACTGCTGAGTCGCCCTTGCAACCAGTTAAGTATCCAATTGAAACCCATGAACAGTAACATCGCAAACCCCTCTGAAACATAGGAGCCAGAATGATCAATTCATTGATCGTGGGCCCTCAAAATAAAGAAGAAGAATAGGGTGCATTGAATAGGGTGCATTAAATAGGGTTAATTAAATAGGGTGCATTTAATAGGGTGCATTAAATAGGGTGCATTCAATAGGGTGCATTCAATAGTGTGCATTAAATAGGGTGCATTGAATAGGGTGCATTAAATAGGGTGAATTAAATAGGGTGCATTAAATAGGGTGAATTAAATAGGGTGTATTCAATAGGGTGCATTAAATCGGGTGCATTAAATAAGGTGCATTAAATAGGGTGCATTAAATAGGGTGCATTGAATAGGGTGCATTATATAGGGTGCATTCAATAGGGTGAATTAAATAGGGTGAATTAAAAAGGGTGCATTCAATAGGGTGCATTAAATAGGGTGCATTAAATAGGGTGCATTAAATAAGGTGCATTAAATAGGGTGCATTAAATAGGGTGCAGTAAATAGGATAACCTTAGGATCATCTTAGGTAAGTCTGGCTTTAGGAAGGTGCCCTCGAAATTGAAAAAGTTTGCGAACCACTGATAAACAGTATTTGCGATATACATATATATCTAAACGGATCCACAGTTTAGATATGGAAGAAATTTCCTTCCGATAAAACTTCCGATCGTTTTCAACAGTGCCAACAAATTGGTTTCTTACGACTTGGTGACGTACAAATTACAGTAAACCTGAGATACACAGATACAGAAATGTTCATATCATCAAAACTTTTCCTGTTTAAATACGTGCCATATTAAACTCTATGATTTCATGGAAATCCCCTTTTGTCAGTGACGTCATTGCTTTATTCACACAAAAACTTTTTGAAAACTCTAATTCCTGGAAAACAACTTCCGTGAATAAAAATGTTTCCAATAAGTCAGTAACTTTTTTGTTTTGTTTTATCACATTATAATTTCATAATAATAATTTACCTATAAATTGTAATAACTGCAGCTAAGAAACTTAGGTTTACGGCAAACTTTGGGTCGTGCCGAACAACAAGATAATGCACCGAGTGACCCCACGGTAAGAAGCACAGCTGACACTGGTGTCGTGGTTCTTAGAAAATGACCAGGGAGATCCGGGTATTACGTTTCCCGGCACTCCTCCTTTACCGCTCCCCTCCCAATAAATAAAAGTACACGTACTGTATTGAAGATCACCCTATTGCTTAGATTAACACTTAACACCAGGGCTTCTCAACTCTTGGTCAGTTTAGTATCCTGTATAAATGGAGTGAACAACGTCAACTTCCAGGACTTTGAAGTTGGCTGAACAAACAACCTATCTACCTATAGGCCTACTAAGCGCTCCACCCAAAATCACGATTATTTCGACACTAGTAAAAAAAAACATAAATTAAAAATTAAAATAATAATTATCCCAATAAAATTTAATATTTAAAAAAAATAAATACACCCAACATTCTGAATACAGTTTATTTCGCAACCAAAATCAAACAGTTTTTCTTGTTCTCTGTACCGCAGTCCGGCAATCAAACAAATAACAGGGGCGTTATTTTTCGAGAGAAATGCCGTAAAAACATTACGTATATAAATAGATGAGCACCTTGAGTTGTGGGCCAAGTTCGTCAGGAGTGTAGGCCTATAGGTGAGAGCCATACGTCACAGCTTGTTTATCAGCACAAAGTTCATGAAATCATGGGGTCATTTGGAAAATGGCTAACCCAAAATTGCCATCCCCCATCTAAACAATTTGTTGTTTTTTTTTAAAAGTATCTGGACATTTTTACGACATAAATTTGTTGACGGAAAATAGTGATGGGAATTTGCACAAACGAAATTAAGTTCTGAAAGAAATTTCTTAAAAGAAGTATTTACTTGTTTACCTTTCCAAATGTTTTTTTAAAGATAAAGTGCAAGTAAGAAAATGGAAAAATGTAAACTCTTAAATAATTTTTTTTTTGCCCTTCCCCAACCGTGATTTCATTTCAAACAAACAAACGTTAGTTTAAACTTCCGTTCGAACAATTTTCCTTTCTTTCTTACAAATTTCCAGTAAACCCTCACAGCAGCAAAGACAACAACTGCAGTTTGACTGTGAGTAAAATTGCATCAGCCAATGACAACTGTTCAGCATGTTGTGTGTGTCTTTTTTCATCTTGAGAAGAAAAAATAAATTTTCGCCTAAAATAATTTAGGACTCATACTTTTGAAACTCATTTGCACGCAATGGGCTCACAGAAGGACAGAAGTGAGGTGTAGTCAGCAACCCAATTTCCAGAAAATATTGACTGGTCATCCGTCCGTTACAATGTGACGATGGTGTACACTTTGAAGGAAGAAATTATATAGCCTGGGGTTTCTCTTAGGAGGATAAGCTTCACGCATGTCGATAAGAAAAGGGAACATCATGTATGCATGATAAAGATTGGTTATCTGAGTGAGATAAATAAATAGAAAGAAACAGAGAGAGAGAGAGAGAGAGAGAGAGAGAGAAAGGGGGGGGATTAATAGAGAGAGAGAGAGAGAGAGAGAGAGAGAGAGAGGGACAGAGAGAGGGAGAGAGAGAGATTGTAGAATTTAAGAATTAACTGTTGACATTTACAGAGATTCCATAATTGTTCAATATGATTTTATGTCTGAAACAGCAATTAGAGAGAGAGAAAGAGAGAGAGAGAGAGAGAGAGAGAGAGAGAGAGGGGGGGGAGTAATAGAGAGAGAGAGAGAGAGAGAGAGAGAGAGAGAGAGAGGGACAGAGAGAGGGAGAGAGAGAGATTGTAGAATTTAAGAATTAACTGTTGCCATTTACAGTGATTCCATAATTGTTCAATATGATTTTATGTCTGAAACAGCAATGTCCAAATTGTTGGGCGAGGAGACATCCCCAACAGATACTTAGGTCACGAAAAGACTCAGAAAAATACTTTTTTTTTTTTTTTTAAATACACAGCAGGAAGAAGGGGACAAAATGCTCCCTAGGTATGATGTGATAAAATTGATAATGTCAAGCTCCTGAGCGCATATAAATTAAAAAAAAACCTTTTTATAAATATACATGGGCCTACTGTATAATAAATCCCTTTTTAGTGGGTGAATGTCTCCTTTTGGTCCATCTGAGTGAGTCTACAGCCTGCTATGAAATATCTACCGGGAAGATGTCTTTTTAAAGGGGGTTGGGATTTTTATTTCCTAGACATCAAATCATTCTTTAAAAAAATCAACACCTGAAACAATTGGGGGAGGGGGTTATATGATTCAGATATGGCAATATGACACCTGAAACAATTGGGGGAGGCTGGTTATATGATGCAGATATGGCAATATGACACCTGAAACAATATGGGGAGGAGGTTATATGATGCAGATATGGCAATATGACACCTGAAACAATTCGGGGAGGGGGTTATATGATGCTGATATGCAGAGGCGTAGCGAGGGTGTTTGGCGCCCGGGGACAAGATTCGTGCCCGGGGACAAGATCCATTTGAAAACGCCCCCATTTCTTTTTTCAACTCTCAAACCCATTATTTTTACCAATAATATAATATAAAAGCACATTTTGGCGCCCCTAACTAGCTTGCGCCCGGGGACATCTGTCCCCCTGCCCCCACCCCTCGCTACGCCTCTGCAGATACGGAAATATGACACCTGAAACAATTGGGAGTGTATAGGGTGCATGTATCTCATATGTTGACATTTGACTTTAAACAGCGATGTTGTCTGGCTTTTCCATGTTCTCTTTTGGGGTGTAGGCTTTCAAATCCCTCGACCTCGTCCCGCCCAGTGATTATTTGGTTTCGTTATATTCAGGAAGTCTGAAGCGTTAACGCAAATTAATACGCCACACCTGGGCTGAAGCAGTGATTCGGCAGGCTGCTGTCTTTTAGCTTCCGTGCATTCAGTGACTATTAGGCAGGGAGTAGCTAGCGCATGTGACGCCCGGGGCTGTCCTTCACTTTACCGACACTTATTCACGACAACCATGTTATAAGAAAACTATTAGAACGAAGAAAAACGATACAAAATAATTGTAAAATAATGAAAAGGCAACTTACAGTTTCATAGACTTCACGTTTACACACTTTATTTCAGGTTTCAGGTTTTTTTTCCCCTCCTTGTTTAATTTTGTTGAGCACATTATGCTCCGGGTGGGGCTGCACTTGACTTCATTGGGGGGGGGGGGGGGGGGGTTGCCAGGGGGGGGGGGGGGGGGGGAGGGGATTCCCAGAGAGATGCCTGAGAGTTGAGACCCGCCATGAGGTTAGTCTATGGAGTCAATTCCATGTAGTATTTTTTTGTTTTAAGGAATGTATTTTACACCTAGACTATATTAGGCCTATAAATTATGGTATTATTAAATTAGCTAGTGTCACTGTCATTCCGGCACATAACTATAGCCGTAAGAAAATTAAAGTATTTCGCCTACGCTTTATTTATATAAATTATTTCGACTGTGAAGTTGTTTGTTTGAAATATTTAAAGGATTTCGATATTTAAATGCCAAATTTAGATTGCCCTCGGTGTAATTTCCGATTAAATTCAGATGTAGGTAAGCGAGGTGACCGTTAAATAAACAATATGGATTATTGAATCGCTAAAGCGGAAACTAAGCGTTAACTGTCAACAACAACAAAATTCTTTTTCTTTAGTTTGACTTTCTTCGGGTGTATTGTTTTTTGGTATTTAAAAAGATGTAAATACAGATGGAATTTAATAAATACATCGAAGTATGCTTCATTCATATATGAGTTAAATCTAGTTGTTGCCACAACAGACTAAATTTTAATTTATTAGGCCAATGTTGAATCAGAACCATTCAGAATGTGAATGAGTCTAAGTCTAACTACTTACTCTACTACTACTGACTGAACTAGTACTACTACTCAATATACTATAGGCACTATAGGCTATATGCCTACTTATTATTATTAGAAATTCTTATTAGTAAGTTATAAGACTTTTATTATTATTTATTTATTATATAAATATCATCATAATATGATACATTTTAAATCTGTATAATACTAATAATACAGATGTATATATTTAATGTATCCTACCTAAAAATGAATAAGTATAGTATAAGAATGGGCAGAAGTCTCTGACAAAAACAAAGCTCAGAAAAATAGAAAAGAAGTGGGCCAGTGGGTGGAAGTATACTTTAAAGACCAAACAGAAATAAAAACCATTGCAGTGTGCAGCTAATGTCTGATGTCACTGATCTAAAATTGTGAATTTGGAGTCAATGTACCAAATCTTGTAATTAATTTATTTTCAATATAAACTCTATCAATGTATCACTTGCATACAATATACTATTAACCGCAAGGTCTGATTGCGATATTCTCTTATGATTAACGCTATTGAAATGTTTAAAAACTAGTCCATGACAAAAGGCTTGTTTCTTAATGTACCATGTGGCCTGTGGTTTGACTTTGCCCACCCTTGCTCTAATGCACAAGCTGTAAGCAATCACCCAGTCCCTTCCACCAAGTCAATGTAGAACTCCTAACCCCCAAAGCACATGTATTTCTTTTAAGAAAAACTGATGTATTTAAATTCATTTAATCCAATTATAAGCTACTTTATTTTAAAAATGCCTGGTTTTCAGTTATTTCACTATTTGATGGAATATCAAGTTTGTTTTTTAACTTTCTGCAAGATTTGACAACAACATGAGGACAAATTTTTCTTTGGGAATCTTCGCATGCATATGCTGTAGTTTAACATGTGGGTGAGTACTATAATGTAATTCTTTATGGTTTCATCATTACATTGGTACCCAGAATCTCCAAGTAAATTTTTGTAGGCAACAACATATTACTTTACAGTATCAAGCTCATATAATCTCTAACAAAATAACTGTTAGACATAGGGGTGTTGTTTCTATTTCACTTCAAGAAATAATGTGTAGATAATGAAAAATGTGAAACAATAAGCCTATTTATTATTGCCGTTTCTTCCACTTACCTTACTTTATGTAAATTTATATGTGGAATAGGAGAGAAAATGTAAGGCATTGAGACTTACTTCTACTTTTCAAAAATAACTTTTTTGCTTTTGTGGGTTTTTGATGGATTTATCATTGTGAGTTTCTTCATTAATCTGTAGCATATAGAGAAATAATGAAATGCTTTATTTCAAACCACTGAATTTAACTGACCTGAATAAGATGCATTCCTCTAGTTTTATTTAAACGCTTTAATATTTGTTGGTAATCATAAGTTTTGCTTGTGAGCTATGGGGAGAACTTTGATAACCTTTGCAACTGTAACAAAAGAATATTTTTATATCAATAAACAACAAAATCTCAAGCAAATATAGTCAACCTTATAAAATATCTTGGTAAATTTACTTCAGGTTATTCCTTGCGCTTGCTCCAAAAGAAGCTCACCCAGGCTGGCCATTGAACATTGCCGTCACAGTTTATCAGTCTGTCCCTGCTCCGGTCAGCATGACTGCTACACTTAAAGTTAAGGAAAAGGCCTTGGGAGTAGTTCAAGAGACACTTCAGCCAGGTACATTGTGAAGAGAAAGGCAAGAGGTTTTGCATGCTTGCATTTTGTGAGGCAGGATTTGAATATAAATATATCATTTAGTTAGTTTCTTCACCTTGAGTCTGAAATGTAGCCAATTCATCCAACAGAATCTTGCTGCACCCCAGCTAGAAAAGCTTGTTTTAGGTCATTGCATTGTATTCCCTTAATGTCATGCAACATGCTAGTTGACTAGGCTAAATTATTGTTAAAAGTGCAGTGGTTATTTTCATTCACTGGTCACGAGGGTTACTCATCTTCTCTGGTACGAGAGTTACGCTCCCTCCCTGGTACAAGAGTTACCTTCCTTCTCTGGTACCAGCGTTACACTCCTTCTCTGTACAAAAGTTAACTTCCTTTTCCGGGGTCAAGGGTTAAATGCCATGCCTCTACAAGTGTTATCTTCCTTCTGGAGTGGTCATAGATTATTGAAACCTTGTGCTTTTTGTCTGCCTCAACACCTGGACTACCCTGATCTAACTCACAGGGTGGAGCGTTCCTGCGCTGACCATTACTTCCACAAAATAGTTTGTAACAGGTCAGGACCAAAGCCCCCCTCATAACATTTATTCCGTGACACTCTGGCACATGTGTCACATTCCTGTCCTTGTACATGTGTCACATTTTTTTTGTGGCACATGTGCCACCATCCTAATCTGCCACATATGTCACACACCTTATCAAATTAAGTTCCTGAATTCTCTTAGATTTTTTGTAAAAGTTTTTTTGACAATTTAAAACAAATTCAAATCCACTCCACAACACTGATCATTTCACCTTGTATTAGTATTAAATGTAATGACTGCTCTAACCTCCCACTGCTGTTTGATTACAGGTGAAACCAAGCTGGTGTCAATTCAGGTATGTTTACTCAACCTTGTTTGCATCTCTGTTGTGTAAGAAACAATTTTCTGTAGTATGTAAGTTAGTTGTCTATATTTAATTTTCGTTCTAATAATGTGGCCTCTCATCCACCGCAATGATTAAGTTTAAGCTTAATGAAAGTTCCATCATGCAATACTTATATTTGATTACTTTGACATGATATGCGCGTTTTTTTTTCAAATGTTGATACCATATATGTTTCTAATTATATTTAATGATCTGAGTTTAAGAAACACAATAAAAATAAATTAAGCTTTTTGAAAAGGTGCATTTAAGGTTGTCGATCACAAATAGGGCTTGCTAAAGAATTTCAATGGAAATGTAAATTGAAGTGATAATATTTTTAACTGAGCTGAACCTTAGTGACTAGTTAGTATTTAAAACTCCACAATCGAAGCTATTGAATTAACTCTTCCGTTTAAGTACGCTAACAAAGTTGATTTGTGGAATACCTTGTACCAAAACTTGAGTCATCAATAATTATAATAATGAATTGAAATAAACTATTCTGTGCAGGTAATCATTTCGTCTTATTGTAAAGCTAAACTTAATTCATGGTCCCCATATGTTTTAGGTACCTCATGTGATCCCAGCACATGATGAGGTTGTCTTATCCATAGAGGCCAATGGGGGTGTCACCTACCAGTCCTCAGAGTCTATCAGACTGAGTCGCAACTCCTCTGTGGTACTTGTTGAGACTGATAAAGCCATTTATAGACCTGGACAGAAAGGTAAGTACTTTCCTCAAGGTCGCTGTAAAATTGTTCAAAGTATCGCCAGATGAGACGCGTGGTTGTGTAATTTTAGCCTGGGGGTCTAACACTTAAGTCATGTTTTAGGAACCACCTTTAAAAAAACATTTAATAGCACTTGAACAAGAATTACTAATACTCTTTGTAACTTGTCAGTCCAATGTGTCCAATGGGTTTGTTTTAGTTTCAGTACCGTCTTAGTACAGGATTAAACAAGAGTTTTATTTAGTACAGGTTTAAACAAGAGTATTTTTAGTACAGGTTTAAACAAGAGTTTGTTCAGTGCAGTCTAGTTTCAGGTTTAAACAAGAGTTAGTTGTGTCCACTTGTCTTAATTTGATTTCAGTTCGTATCCGGGTCATCATTGTTGATAAGGATCTGAAACCTGTATTCCTTCCAGTAACTTTGACTGTTGTGGTAAGATATCATTATTTTTCCATAATTGTATTGTACTATTTACTAATCTACTGCTTGATTTTTGTATAAAGTTTAGGAGAACAAAAGATGGGTATTGATAATGCCATTTGGATGAAATAATTTTACTTTATTTCAGCATTACCAAGACATATACATGTCATTTAGCACCCAACTGCTTTCTTTGTTTCATTTAGCACCCCCATGCTTTTTTTTTTCATTCAGTGCCCCCACTACTTTCTTTTGTCAGTTAGCACCCCAAATACTTTCTTTTGTCAGTTAGCACCCCAAATACTTTCTTTTGTCAGTTAGCACCCCAAATACTTTCTTTTGTCATTTGTGCCCTAAGTACGTTCTTTTGTCATTTAGCACCACAAATTTCTCATACTATTTTAACTTCTGAAATTATATTTTGATTATGGTTAAATAGATTCTTTATTTAACTTTTTTCTATTTACCAATGATCTCTAAAGAAAATATGTATAACTGCAGTTTAAATAAAATATCTTAGAGATCGCGTGAGAGAGAGAGAGACGGAGAGGTTTATTACATGAACTCAGTTATGTTAAAAATATTTGTTCTGTTTTGATACAGAATTCTAAAAACAACAAACTTGAAGAATTCAATAACATCACCTCAAGAAATGGTAAAAGTTATAACTTTTTTATCTGGACTTTTCAATACTTAAACGGTGCATTAATGTTCCACTAATGTGAAATGCTATTTTGAGGGAATTGGCACTCGCAAAGGTAGCCATTTCTACGATCATATAATAATATTTATTAAAATCAACTCCAAGTTTTAACATATTTCTAAAATAGATTGCTGAAGCATCAGTTAGGAAAAAACTAAGAGTGAGTTACAATTAAATAATAAATGAATATAACGAACCATGGCGTCAAATCTTTTATTTTTTTATTTTTGGAACATTGGTTGAAATGGATTTGTGTCATATAACCAGGTAGTGTCTTGTCTTGAGGTCAGCACTCAAAAATCGTTACATGGGTAAAATGAGAAATTAATGGAATTATTTTATATAAGATGACTAAAATATTGTTTTAAACATTGAAAACAGATTTTATGCTCTTATACTCAGGTGTTATTGAGCGTATTTTTGAGTTGTCTGACTATCCATCCCTTGGCGTCTGGAAAATAAATGTAGCTCATGAAGATACCAGGCTGTACACTCATTTATTCACAGTCGAGGAATTCGGTAAGGCAAATATACTTTATTCAAGATTATAAGTATTTGATAATCAGTATGATTTATTGTCCAATGTGGAATGGACTCTGTCTGAAGAAAAAAATAATCTCTAAAAGTATAAATGTTAGCTTTTATCATCCCTGGAGGCATTGGTTTGGTGCTCCAGTTATTAGTTGTAGGTAGCAGTCAAAGCCAAACTTGTCTTCCCTGGAGGCATTGGTTTGTTGCTCCAATTGTTAGTGGCAGATAGCAGTCAAAGTCAAGTTTGTCTTCCTTAAGGATCTTTACCAGTTTCTGCTTTAAAAAAACCCATTTAAAACCAAAATAAACTTAGCAATTTTATCATTATTAGTGGTCTTATATAGCGTGGTACCACAGCCAAGGGCTGGGCTCACTGTGCTGTGTATAAAAATATTAGGAAACACAATCATGACGTTAAAAAATAACATACTTTTCTTTAATTAAAAAGCAGCAATATAACAACAAAACAAAAACAAATGTATGTTTACACCACCCACCCCGGAACTTTTAAATATATCTCTGTTTCTACTTCAGTGCTGCCAAGGTTTTCTGTTGAGGTCATTGCCAAGCCAAACTTCATAGTGACCACTGACAAAAACAGCAGGCCAACTATAACTGTTAGTGCCAAGTAAGTTATGCCATAGGGTGTTTTTGTTTTCTTGTTAAATTTAAAAAATAATTAATTCTCAGTGAGTGAACTGCAGAGATCTAAAGATATTAGTGTAACTAAAAGTTGTTGCAAAGACTTCAGCGCTACTACTGACCCTCCACCCCACAGCTTGCTGAGAACTGAATTGAATATTCCCCTTGTGCGCAAGCAACTTTAATAATACTCTATTGAATGCCCTCTGTGCACTGCAACGCACCTGGTTTACTGATGATGTTTAAATTCAAGTCTGTTTTGTTTGGCAACAAAAGTAGCATGTTTGCTGGCACATTCTGGCCACCTCCGGTCCAGGAAGTTCTCAAATAAAAAAAAGCATCTGTTCCTTCATATTCCCCCCCCTTTCTTCAAAGACACAGCGGTTGGGCCCGGCTTTGGGAAAAAACTGTTTCCTAGAAGTTTTTACTGCAACTATTGTCATTTCCTGGAAGACAGTGATGTGGATAAAGTCCACAGCCCAGGGTCTGCATGGCACCTTAAAGTTAATCTTACTGAATTACACACTGTTAAGATTCAAGTCAGACTTATTCTACTGAATTGTCACACAGTTCAGATTACAGTCAGGCTTACTCTACTGCATCAAGTTTCAGTCCACTAAATCCAGCACTTGCTTTCCTTGTTATTGGCATGGTTATTCTTTAAAACCGATTTAAAGACACATCTATTTCGCAAACACATTCTGGGATGATTGTCTACCTTATTTTCCAGTTAATGCATAATGGCTGTGTTGCTTAGAGTTGAAATGGCTAGAAAGACTTTGCCATTGTATGCTTGTAATTAGTTTTTGTAGTGTTGCGTTTGTTTTAAATGTGGTAAATTATAGATTTGTTTTTGGTTGACTTTGTACCGTGTGTTTTTGAAATGATCTTTATTATTATTATTATTATTATTATTCTCCAAAAACCAAGCTGTTAGTAAATTGGATGAGATTAACAGCAGAGTAAGTAATTGTTCTTCTCAATGAGAATACATTTAGGCAGTCTCTTGTAATACCTTGAGTTGTTTTTTCTCTACCAGATACACCTATGGAAAAGGGGTTCAAGGCAAATGTGCTCTGACCATAGTTAACATACCTAACACAGCAGAGGTCTGGTACAAAGAGGTAAACATTGATGCCCAGAAGGCTTACCAAAACTAATCCATACTCTGGTGGGATTTGAGCCTAATGATCTCATAAAGAAAGTCAATTCAATGGCTTATTCCATGAGCAATGGACCAGTTAAACAACCCCTAAAAACAAAGTTTTTCTTATAAATCATTTATAAAATGTAATTGGGGGGGGGGGGCTGGAAATTTGTCAAAACATCTATACAAGTATAACGCACTCTATAAGGAATCCCATATTTAATAAATGTAATTGGGGGGGGGGGCTGGAAATTTGTCAAAACATCTAAACAAGTATAACGCACTCTATAAGGAACCCCAATTAGTGCACACCCCTACCCCCCCCTCCCCCCCCCCCCAAATGCTCACAACCGCTCATTTTTTTCAAACTTCTGAACTATATTAATATACTAATGACTCGCTCACTTTTACACCACAGGTTTATTTTACCAACTATTTCAGAAAAAAAATATTACTGACCAAACGCACTTGCAATTTTAAAAAAAAAAAAAAATCTCTTTTCCGCAGTTATTGGCAATTTTATTTCGTGAAATCATCATCATATTTCCTTCCACTTCCCCTTGAAAAATAGGAAAAACTGATTTTTGGGGGGTTGGGAATTGATTGAATGTGTTGTCATCAGCAATGAGGCTACGTGCCAAGTTTCAGTGCGCCAATAAGCCGTCCGAAGATTTCACCAGCCACGAACAAATACAAAATTAATATAAAGGATTTAATAAAAATGACATGATGTGTTCAGATGAGATGACTGCCATTGAAATGCTCTCTAGTGCTCATACCTAACTAAAATGATCTCAGAGCCTCACTAATTGAATATGTCTTCATGCCTTCCATACTTGTGTCAAAGATTTCAGCAAAGTGTTTCATAAATAAGGACTGTGGACAAATTCAGTAGCACTTTTTAAAATCAAAATAAGTGCTTTTTATAATCTTGCTTTTATTGCTGGTCACTGAAGCTGTCGTTAGTATAATTTTCTAATGGATTTTTGATGTCTTGCTGCGCTAACGCAGCTGACAGAGTCTGGAACAGCAGAGTTTACCAACATCAACTGGCAAGTACTTGAGGGTGGTTTCACAGGGGCTGTAACTCTCAGGGCAGAAGTAACGGATGAGACTGGCAGAAAGGAGGCAGGGGAGACCACTCTGCACCTGCACCAGCATCCCATCAAAATTAAGATTCTGGATAAGTCCACCAAGGTTTTGAGGACTGGACTGCCTGCCGACATCTATGTAAGATACGATCATTTTTATTAGATATATGCTATAGAAATATTTTGTGTTCCAAATATAGTTAGAGGCCATTATTCCCTTTGAAAGGTTTGAACTTTTTTGTCTGTTAGAGGCTTATAAAAGAGTCTTGATTGTCTGTTAGAGGCTTATGAAAGTCTTGTATATCTGTTGGAAGCTTATGAAACAGTCTTAAGGAAACAAAGACGCATCCTCTATGTAATTACTGTATCTGTAATTATGATGATCATCATATTTTAAGTAAATAGAAAAAATGTGAACTTAGCATTTCTTAACTAGATGTCTTGTATGTAATAGAAAACATGTAAACTTAGCATTTCTTAACTAGATGTCTTGTATGTAATAGAAAAAATGTAAACTTAGCATTTCTTAACTAGATGTCTTGTATGTAATAGAAAAAATGTAAACTTAGCATTTCTTAACTAGATGTCTTGTATGTAATAGAAAAAATGTAAACTTAGCATTTCTTAACTAGATGTCTTGTATGTAAGAACTTTGGGATGTCCGTTTTAAAAAAATGAGATAGTTTCCATAAGCAGATCTGTTTACCCTCTGAAAATCATACAATGTTGTCACAAAATCGTACAATACGTATCTTAATAGTAAGTAAATAAACATACAACATATATAATGTGTACAATAACTACTGGCATCACGTGTCTAGTGGAATCGAGTTAAGCTGGCATCAAAAAGAAAAAGGTAACTGAAGGTAAAAAGTAGATGACTGACATTTATGTTGCTATCTACAGTCACTTTGTTGTGCAGACGTGTATCTGCTATAAATATCATTTAATTTTTAGGTGAACATGCAGATCACATTATCTCAAGCTGTCACTGGTAAAAATAAAGTTGCTAGTGAAATTTAACATGGTTCAAACTTGAAATTAGATTAAAAGCTGTAAATGGGTGAAGGTAAGAGGGGAAATTAAAAATAATATTGCCGTTTTGCACATTCTAAAAATAGATTTCAAAGGCCACCTCCGATTGTATAATATATGTCAAAATCTAATATTGTTGTGTACAACAGTTGAGAATGCATTTTTTAGTTTTTTCGTCACCATTAAGCGGCAAGAAACAATTATGTCATACAGATCCACGTCAAAACAAACGTGAAGAAGGGCCATCTAAATAGTACATGCACAAAAAAAAAAATCTAAATTTTCTCCCCCCCCCTCTCCCCCTGTTGCACATGTACTTTTTTGAAGGGCACTCTGCATACATACAATGAGCTTTCTACCCCCCCCCCTTCTATTAAAAAAAAAATATTCAATAATCTTTCTATATTTATGATGTTACAGTTAACAAAATGTGACATGCGTTTTCACCACTGACTGTTTGGACACGTCCAAAAGATAAGCCACATACCCTGTATGCTCGTTGCCCTTGGGCAGGGCCATGACAATCGGGCAAAGAGCAACGGGGACGCCAAAATCAGGGGGGCAAAAAGCAATGGGCCCCCAAATCAGGGTGTGCCAAAATCGCCTTAAGAAAGGATCTTAATAATGAATTAAATGATAAAATCGTATTTATTTCAGAAAGACAATAAAAAAGGTGGTAAAAATTGTCGTTTTACTATTGCGCGCCTTTGGGGAACACATTTTTCTATATGGGTTGATGCGGCTTCCTTACAAGGGCGTTGTGAAATATTAAACAATTTATTTTCCACTTTTAATCCTATGTGCCATCTTTCAGTCATGGTGCAAACAGCAACCCACTACTGTTTGCAGTTAGTAGATAGTGGTTAGTCAACTACGTGCATGTTATATTTATTTTTACCTAACCCTTTATTTTATTTCATTGATGTATTTCGAAGTGTACTTGTTAGAATTAAACAGAGAGTCTGCAAAAAACCTGAATTGGGCTTAGGTGCCAAGACACAAAAAATTAGAAGCATTGGTATAGCCCAACAAAAGATACGTCACATGCACGTTGAACATACGTTGTGCTAAATATTACTGTTATGTTTATACTACTTAGTCCCATACTATTTGAGTATATTTAGCGAGTTCATTTGTGAAAATACATGCCAACACTATGCCCGATAATTCCTGATATTTTTACAGCATTTGAAATATAAATATGCTAATTTCAGACTTTTAGGATCATTATTGTAGACTTTTTTAATAGCGTTCATGTCTTCTACTGAGGGAAAAAACCCTCTTCCCCCACCTCCCCCTTCACCTATAATTATGAGAAGGTGGCTTTGTTAATTTTATTGACTTAAATATTTAGAAAAAACTACCGCAATGTATATATTTTCAAGCCAGTCTTTTAAAATCGTACTTCTGATGGACTTGGCATACAATCATAAAAGACACCTCAAATCGTTAATTGTACACCAAAATCGTAAGAGTAAACAGGTCTGCTTAAGGCCTTTGAAGCTAAACAAAACTTGAATTATCAACATTTGATTTAAAAAGTCAAATGTGTTTTTCCTTGCTTTAAACTTGCGTGATCATAAACAAATTAAAAGTTTAAGCAATGATGAGAATGCTAATAAGATCTACATTTTCTTTAGGGATGTTTTACCCAGGGCATTTTTAAGTGAAATAATTCCTGTGCTCTACAGGTTCAAGTTTCAGACCACAGCGGAAATCCAGTGTCTCCTGTAAATGTCATTCTGAGCTTGACGTTTGTTTCTTTGAAACCGTTTGAATGGGCCGGGACCATACCAGAGGGGGAGACCATAGTCAGCCACACCTTCATCCCCACTGCTGATCATGACAGTATGTACAGATATTATCACAGAGGTGGCTACATGAAGGTAACCCGTCACTGTGTTACATTTACATACCAAACACAACAAACGTAATCAAGCTGGCTTGCACCTTGCACCTTCATTGTTCAGCCTCACTGTCTTCACCATTCTGACTGATCCTTTCTTTGGAGGAGTCTTTGGGATCTGCATCAGAGATTGAACTCAAACCAAACTGTTGTTAAACACTTAAAATCCACATGACATCAATTGGCGTGTGTAAAGCAGAGCAACTAGAAAAATTCATAAATAATCTCCTCTTCAACGCACACATTCTTACAAGTATGTTTTCTTCATGAATGGTTAAAAACAAGAGCTTTCAAATCAAAAACTGTTTGTTAATACACTTTATTTGATCCACTATATTTAGAGTGTAAATATCTAACGCATTTTTAAATGATGGAACTTTAAAATACATTTTACAGGCAAGCCTAGCATCTCAACCAGATGTAACAGACATAATGGATCTACAGTTATACATGGCCAGCGCGCAAACAGCTGTCTCTATCAAGTCACTCAATGGCAAGGTCAGACAATGTATTTACTTTTCTTTCTTCTAAGTCATAATTCATTTGGACATTGTGAGATCAACTGTGTGACCAAGTGCCCAGTTCAGAGACAGATTTTGATCTTTAAATCACTTACTGTTTTACATTTTCAATTGCCTCCAGCTTAAAGCTTTATTTTCGTTTCACATCCCATTTTCAACGTTATTTTCCTTACCAGCCTAATCTTAGCCACAGGGTTAAAAGCTCTTTAAAAGTAATAAGAGTTTCATGCTATAAGCCAGTTTATTTTTTGTAGACATTTTTTTCCCCCCACATTAAATTAATGTCATTTTTGTTTGTTCTTGATTTGAGCCCATCAGCTATAAATTAGCTGATAGAGGACCGAGACAGTTTTTCTGATAGAGGACTGAGACGGTTTCTCTGATGGAGGACTGAGACAGTTTCTCTGGTAGAGGACTGAGACAGTTTTTCTGATAAAGGACTGAGACAGTTTCTCTGATAGAGGACTGAGACAGTTTTTCTGATAAAGGACTGAGACAGTTTCTCTGATGGAGGACTGAAACAGTTTCTCTGATAGAGGACTGAGACAGTTTTTCTGATAAAGGACTGAGACAGTTTCTCTGATAGAGGACTGAGACAGTTTTTCTGATAAAGGACTGAGACAGTTTCTCTGATAGAGGACTGAGACGGTTTCTCTGATGGAGGACTGAGACAGTTTCTCTGATGGAGGACTGAAACAGTTTCTCTGATAGAGGACAGAGACAGTTTTTCTGATGGAGGACTGAGACAGTTTCTCTGATAGAGGACTAACACGGTTTTTCTGATGGAGGACTGAGACAGTTTCTATGATAAAGGGCGCACAACAATTTTTCTGATAGAGGATGCACTAAAATTTCTCGGATAGAGGACTTAGAAATGGAGAATTTTATAACAATGTCTAGACCTATCATTTCTTTGCACTCACAGAACCTCATGGTAGGTGTGGAAGCTCTGTTCAGTGTGAATAAGACACTTCCAGAAAATTCAAACTCGACACTGGCCTACGTTGTAAGTTGACTTGTTGTAGAATGTCATGGGGTGAGGCAGATCATATTACACTCAATGAATCCAATCTGAGAAAAGTTTTGTTTTCTGTATGAATTTTTTTTTTTTTATTTTTTTTTTTTCTTTAATGTTTCCAGGAAATAGAATTTTAAAAGTCTTTTTTTTTTTTAAAACGAGTAGCAGAATACTTAAAAAATTATTTTTTCAATGAATCCAATCTGAGAAAAGTTTTGTTTTCTGTATGAATTTTTTTTTTTTTATTTTTTTTTTTCATTAATGTTGCCAGGAAATAGAATTTTAAAAGTCTTTTTTTTTTGTAAAACGAGTAGCAGAATACTTAAAAAATTATTTTTTCATAAATGAAAAATTATTGTGTCTTTGCATCAAATTAAATTTGTATTTAAAAGTGAAAAATTAAGATTAAAAATATGTATTGTATAGAAAGGGGAGTGGGGGTGGGGAATGGTTTTGCAAAAAATGATCCAAAACATTTTTATACAGACTTTGTCAGCCCTCTCTTATCATTTAAAAAAAAAATTAATGTACCAGAGCGCAATATTGAATCTGCATGCATCTTAATATATTCTGTAGAAACTGTAGACCAAAAATGTGACAGTCTGATCCAGGTATTTTAAAATTGCTAAAAATCTTCTTGTTGAGTTTGTTCTCCTGTTATGTCTTTTGCAGACTTAAAAAAAAGAAATATCTTAATTGTAAAGTGTTACTGCATTCCAATTTCCTGGCTCTAGTGGTTACGTGATCATGAAATTTTCATTTGTTGTAGGTTGTGAGCAACGGCAACATTATACAAGCAGGACCAGTGAGGGACAGCATCATTCGGCTCACACCCACACTGGAGTTCTGTCCATCGGGCAAACTGATGGTCTACATGATTATAGACAACAAAGACAGAAGCCAACTTGGAACTGAAGGGGAAGTGGTGGTGGATGCACTTGATCTCATGGTGTCAAGATGCTTCAGCAAAGAGGTCATTGATGTGTAACAAATTTTGTTGCAACTTGTTAGCTCATTTAATTTTTATGCCTTACTGATTTTTTTTTTTATGTGAATACTCTGTTATATAAGGCTGTGTAGTTCTTTTGACCATTTTTCATTCATCAATGTTTTAAAATTATTCAGAATATTTATTGATATGGCTTTTTCCCCACTTTTACCTTTTACAGAGTTTGACTCACAACCAGCAAAAATATTGCACAAAGAATCTCTAGGATGATCTCTGGGATGGGAATTCATTAAAAAATAGAAAACTGCCTGTAGTTGAAGTTCTTGTAGCCTCCCACTTATTTTTTACTAAAGGAGTCACCCCTGATTCCAGTTTGAGTCACACCTGACTCCAGTGGGAGTCACCCCTGATACCGCTATGAGACACCCCTGATTCCACTATAAGTCACCCCTGATTCCACTGTGAGACATCTCTGATTCCACTATGAGTCACCCCTGATTCCACTATGAGTCACCCCTGATTCCACTGGGAGTCACCCCTGATTCCACTATGATTCACCCCTGATTCCACTATGAGTCACCCCTGATTCCACTATGAGTCACCCCTGATTCCACTATGAGTCACCTCTGATTCCACTATGATTCACCCCTGATTCCACTTTGAGTCACCCCTGATACGACTATGAGTCACCCCTGATTCCACCGGGAGTCACCCCTGATTCCACTTTGAGTCACCCCTGATTCCACCATGAGTCACCCCTGATTCCACTGTGAGTCACCCCTGATTCCACTGGGAGTCACCCCTGATTCCACTATGAGTCACCCCTGATTCCACTATGAGTCACCCCTGATTCCACTTTGAGTCACCCCTGACTCCAGTATGAGTCACCCCTGATTCCACTATGAGTCACCCCTGATTCCACTATGAGTCACCCCTGATTCCACTATGAGTCACCCCTGATTCCACTTTGAGTCACCCCTGATACGACTATGAGTCACCCCTGATTCCACCGGGAGTCACCCTCTGATTCTACTATGCGTCACCCCTGATTCCACTATGAGTCACCCCTGATTCCACTGTGAGTCATCCCTGATTCCACTGTGAGTCACCCCTGATTCCACTGTGAGTCACCCCTGATTCCACTATGAGTCACCCCTGATTCCACTATGAGTCACCCCTGATTCCACTGGGAGTCACCCCTGATTCCACTATGAGTCACCCCTGATTCCACTATGAGTCACCCTTGATTCCACTGTGAGACATCCCTGAATCCTCTGCAAGTCACCCCTGATTGGCTTGTTTATGCCCTGATTGCACTGGGAGTCACCCCCTGACTCCACTGGAAGTCACCCCTTGACTCCACTGTCCTGTTCTTAAATGTTTAAAGTCCATGGTAATGAAAAATTGTTTTTAGGGTTAAACTCGCTAATATTTAAAAAAATCTTTTCCTCCTTGTTTGGGGATCAGGTGGAAGTGTCATTTCTTTCTGATGAGACGCGCATTGGAACTGAGGTAGACCTGAATGTGGCCATCTCACGTACTGACGGCTCAAATGCCATGGCTGGTGTGCATGATGTGTTCTACCTTGCGGTGGATAAAAGTATTGTGCTGCTTCAAGGTAGCACAGATTTGAATAAAGACAAGGTATGATCGTATATGTACAATTAGCCAAATGAGAAATACATTGGATTTGTGCTTTATTCTGAAGTTCAGTGGTCAGTAATCTTTTTGTGCGAAGGGATGTATGGTAATTGATTTTTGCTTTGGCAGGCTGAAGGATAATATTGTATAAACTTCTTTAAAGATTGGTTTTGAAAATTATAGAGAAGCTAGACCTGTTTACTCTTACCATTTTGGCGTACAATATACAATTTTTAGATGTCTTTTATGATTGTACGCCGAGACCCGCCAAAACTACGATTTTCAGAGACCCGGTTAAAAAATATTTGTGTAATTTTGTCTGATTTAAAAAAAAGTTACATAAAGTTTCTTGTGTTCAAGCTTTAACCCTTATAAAGATCTGGCGGTGAATGGACAGAGAATAGCAATTGGCTTTTGTATATTTTTAAAGAAGGGACCATCCTTCATTATATTATGGCATTTATGGACACACTGAAAGGGGAGGTGGGGTTGTTGATTAAAGAGATTGGTGGCATACGAGAAACACGGGTTAGGGGGATAGGTGGGAGTGTCAAAAGATATAACAAATATAACCGCAACGCATCCTATTGATGGTGGTGATTGTCATAGTGTTGCTTTGTGTGTCATAGTGAACTAGATAGCTGCGTCAACAACAATCTTCAGACTAGTCGCCTGGCAGCAACTTCACTCACCACCCCCTTGGACTGCTACTGTTACCAAGCATGTGTTCGGCACAACCACAGCTGTTGTGAAAAGAGAGAAAACTAGAGATTAAGATGTAGTCAACGGCATTAAAAAAAATATTTTAGAACTTGCAAAGCAGCTCTATCCCCTCAAATTTTAATACAACAGTTTAGTATTACTACTACTACTACCAAACCCCCCGCCCCCCACACACACACTTTTTTTTTACAGCTTGTGGTAGTTAATAGTCTATTATACTATGGCAGTGGTCGGCAAAACGGGGTTCGCATGCGGCTCGACCTGAGTGCGGCTCGGCCGAAATCGGTTTTTACTCCGAAAAACATAGTTCTTGTCAGGTTCTTGAAAATTTGGCTCGCAAAATTTGTTTAATGATCCTGCTGCTGATTTTTGGCTCTTTTGACTAATGAGTTTGCTGAACACTGCTCTATAGTATGTTAACGTAAAAAGTCAGGCGCATATTGGATAGACGAGGGCAATATGTTTTTCCTATTAATGAAGGTGGGGAAGGTGGGTTCGTCACCAGCACGGAAATACGTATTAGTGGACTACAGTGTGCTGTCACTATGTCGTGTTAAATATGACTACTACAGCGACCTCTTTATGAAAACACAAAGCATTAGTATACGATAATGCAAAACATTGTGGTGATATTTGTTTAGCCTTAATAATAATAATAGACCTAATTAGAATTCGTGGCTTTCACAGATTTTCAGATGACAGTTGGTTCTATAAGAGACTGTCAGGAATCAGGATAATTATTTAGAATTTATGCATACATGTAGTTGTATTCTGGTGCTCCCCTCCCCAAATCAAAAATCATATGCATCCTCAGCGAGTAAGTAATATTTGGATGGCCCTTTTCGTTGACAAGGTGCGGCTGTGGGATGGGGTATGAATAATTTCTAACTTTTTCATTTTTATTTTAAATGTTATATTTGGATTGTCCAAACAGCTTTGGCGTTCGAATTTTGCTGCATTGACGTATGAGCACATTGCATGATTTTGATGTTACCATTATTATTAAATTGAATCTGCGATAATTTTTATTTTCGGTTCCGTAGTTTACCTCACTTAGTATTTTACGATATGACCTTGAAAAAAAGAAAGGCTTGCAAAATCGATGATGAAGAAGAAACTTCTCTTTCTACCGATGCACATCCGATTTAACAAAAGAAAAAGAAAGTTTATCAGCAGATTGTCTTGCTTCAATATCAGACAAACTTTACTGAGTTGAGTTCTTCATCGAATGGTTCGTCATACGTGCATTGCACAATCCGCAAGTCTAAAATATTCATCTCAAAACTCTGAAAGTAAAAAAAAATAGCATTCTATTTATATCTCAAATGCTGTAAAATACCACCCAATGTTTTGTAGGAATTATTGCCGTGATGTTGTCAAGATGTATTTTCACCAAAAAACTCGCTAGCAGTAGTAGAGAAATTACAATAATGTTTAGTCAGGAGTGTTCAGAGCGCGTGTGACGTATATTTCATTGGGCTACGCCAGTGGTTCTTATATTTTCGTTTCCCGGCGCCTATGCCAGATTAGGTTTTTGCAGGCTCCCAGAGTGAAAATCTTACATGTAAACTTCAAAATAGGGAATACACAAATAAAGGGTGGGATGAAAATAAATATATTGTTTATGTAGGTCACAAACATGGAGGTATCTATAGCAGATGCAGGTCTTCAAAATGAAGTGACCGCAGTTTGCAGTTGAAGTCAGTCCTATACTGATTACATTCAGTTCCATTTTTTGACAACCCTGAACTGGATGCCACTGAACACGCTATACCGGTAGTTACTGTATACATTATATATTATATATACTGTATATTTATTTATTTACTATTAAGATACTGTATTGTACGATTTTGAGACGATATTGTACGATTTTAGGAGTTTGAGGGTAAACAGGTCTGGAACTTTAAATTTTGCTGTGATTATCATTATTTAATAAATATTGTTTTATGTTAACACTGTGATAATAATTTTCAAAGACTTTTACATATAAATAATCATTCTCATGAAACATAAACATAAAGTTCTTGGAAGGTCTTTCAGGCAGTTTCAGCAGGGGTTAGGTTGCTCACCTCGCTGTAGTTCATCTGGTCATTCCTCTTTCCATGTTAACTCCCATCAAGGGCCACAAACAAACTCTTTACAAAACCTTTTCATCCCCAGTGTTGTTTTCCATCTCTCTATCTACTTTGTGCCCTTTCCAAGAAATTTTCCTCTTCCCTCACTGAAAATAATATTTATTTGATTCTCCCCCACCCCAAACCGTCTGGCCAATTCTTCCTAAACAATAAATTTTGAAATGCATGGGTCTACAACATTGCTGTTTACATTCCATGGGTTCCCACCAATGGTTCGCCACCCTAAATGAAACTAAATGAGATTTCTGTTGTGATTTCTTGTATAGCTACTTTCATAAGAGATGTCTTGTAAAGCAGCTTTCATAACCATTCTCAGGTCTTGTAAGATTCAGATATGAATAGTGTTACAAAAAAAAGTCAACTGAATAATTTGCTCAATATTTATTTTACTAGACTGGGCTGTGGTCTAAAATGCTGTTGTCATGTTTGTATTTGCTAAAATGTCTTATTGGTTAATTAAGTTTTTCTAGGTGTCAGTATATGCCGATGAAAACATTTCATGATCTGGTCAGCAAATCCAATAAACATGTCCATTTATGATTATTTCAGCTTCATTTCATTACCAATATGAAGCAAAAATGATGTTAATAAAGTATTATTTTTTTCCACCCACAGGTTACACAAGGCTTTTCTATTTTTGAATCTGTAGCATCCCCCTCAGATGATACATCCCCTTACACAGCTTCAGGATATTTTAATGTAAGTAGAAAAAATCACTTTTTTCTAATCATTATGCAAAGTGGCCATTCAGGTTGATGAAACTAAACAATGGTCGGCAGTTTACAATGACAATGGGAGGGTGGTTTATTCTGGTCTGTCTCTGGCAGCTGTGGCTTAGCTGACATGACAGCTCTTTGTTTACTTCAAAGGCTGTTTTAGTCCCCAGCTGACTGGGCTTTCCGCCTTCTGACCGCACTCGAGGTTAAGGTTGTACACCCACATTTCAGACTCACCCATTCAAGGGCTTTAAAAGGTATCTGTTTCACCTTTGGGCTCTGTACACTTTATCCAGATTTCTACAGGGAACAAGGGATATGCAGCTGAACAACCTGGTGTATCACTCTGTTTAAAGTATCAGACTGACTCATGACAATATTGTATTGCCAAATATTAGACCAATTTATCTCCCAGTGCATCATTCTACCTTTACTTTCTTTGTCAAAAAAAAAAAAGAGCTTGGCCCTGATATACATTACCCAAACTGAAGTAAACCCGAATCAAGAGTTGGTTTATTATTCCGGAGTGGAAATTGAGCAAGAAGAAGCAGCCTTAGGTTTGTTGTTTTTCAAAATATTTTATTTGACTTTTCCCGCTGCCTGAATTAGAAAAAAGTGCTGCTTTCTCTCATCTATTAACAGCTTCTTTCATTATATTTCACCCACTAATTTGGCACTTTGGGTTTTTCTTTATTCACACTTGTGTTGTTTCAAAATATGAACATACCAATAGTGAGCTTGAATTAAATTCCAGATGAACTTAATTAATTTTTCTCTCTTTGCTAAGAGAGAATTTGGACATAATGAATATTTAAATATCTATAGTAACTTTCTTTGAAGAATATTTGAAAAGAGTGCTTTTCTTTTTCTTTTTTTTTTTGTTGTAAGAATTAAGGTGCTGGATAAATACTGCCAAATAAATGTAGCTGAATGGTCTTGGACAAAATAATTAGTTTTTTCTGCAAATATGCAGCCCTGCCAGAAATGACTATCACAGCTCCATTCAGTGTAGAGATGGGAATCAAACCCAAACCAAACACACCAAACTCGAACCCTTCTGACAAATGACTGCAATGAACCGAACCTTGCTGACAGCCGAACTGAACTGAACCAAAACCCTGCTCATGACTGAACCTGAATCGAATATAAACTTCAACGTAACTTAGTATGAAACAACCAGAACATTCTATTGCAAACTTATTAGAACCGTCACTGTTTTACCAATGTGGTACATCACTACTTATGTCACAATTGCTAGAAAATTTGATTGCAAAATGTTTTTTTGTAAACCAAAATGATATTTTCTAAATCATCTGCTACACAACATCCCTTCACACATAGATTCGATTTTGTTTTAATGTGTGACAAAGTAATCATCAATGCTATGTGGCCAACTTTTTTTATCCAGTGTCAGAAATTCATTCAAAACAAACAAAGTTAGATACCTGTAGGCCTATTTATTTATCGCTGTAGATGTTTCTCCTACAAGCAGTGATGTTGGAGGGGAGCTGGCCAAACCCTTGTATAGAGAGTTGACATTTTTTCCAACTGCAGAAGTTTTATCGTGGATGAGGGCACAAAAATCTTGGCCTGCCCCTGACGGCACTAAGCCTAGGTGTGCCACTACCTACAATATAAACAATTAACAAACCCCACGCTGCAGTAGATCCAAAGTGAAGAAAGACATGATAGAAATTGTTTGTTTTAGCCTATGCCATTGAAAGGATTGATACATCATAATAAACTATTTCGAATCGTCCTTTCACTAACCATAAACATCAAACCCATAGAATATATATGTTTCCTTATTTTCATTCAATTTTATTGACTTGCGTTTGTTTATTGATAAGTTATATAAGTCATGTTGTACTATGATAGCTTAAGACAAAAGGTTCTTTTTTTTTTTTTTTTTTTTTTTTTTTAAACCCCTTTTTTTATTAGAAATGTAAAATATTTTTATTTAATTTAAATTAAAACCAAATTAATTTCTTGCGTTTGTTTATTGATAAGTTATATAAGTCATGTTGTACTATGATAGCTTAAGACAAAAGGTTCTTTTTTTTTTTTTTTTTTTTTCTTTATAAACCCCTATTTTTATTAGAAATGTAAAATATATTTATTTAATCTAAATTAAAACCAAATTAATTTCAAAATACTGAACACGCTGAACTGCACTGATTGCCTAATCCTGCCGACAACCAAACCCGAACTTGTAAAAGAGCGTTTGATTCCCATCTCTAATTAAGTGTAAAGACAATTTTTAAAGTTGCTAGATAATATTAGAAATTTTTGTTTTCTTTCCCCTTTAAGAAATATGGAATAGTCCCCATCACGACAACCAAAGTCGTGGAGAAAAGCACAAGATTGCAGCTCCGTTTCGGGCAGGTTGCTCCTGGCATGGGAATATTACAAAAGAATTTTAAATGTGTGTCTTTGTGTTAGTTTTTTATTTTTCATAAAAAATATATTTCTATAGCAAATAGTTAATTTTTTCTTGCTTGCTTTTATTTAGATGTCTTTTTAAAAAATTAATTACCCAACTAATTGTTTAAAGATTTATGTGTTATGAAATCAGACTCTATAATAGCTTGTAAAATAGATTACTGTTCAGTAGAAAGTAGTTTCTTCCAGAATTTTTTAGTTTAAACCTGGAACCTGAGAAATGTTTCATTAGCCAATGAGAGCTTACCATTGTCCAGGGGGAATTAATTAGCAGAAAATTGCTTTATGGATAAGTTGTCATAGTCACCTTGTGAGTGACTTAGTAAACAGCTCATGAATTGGCAGTTTTTGTGGGATTTTACATAGGACAGTCTTTGCTGCATTTTATACACAGTACAGTTTTTTCTGCATTGTACATAGGACAGGCTTTGTTGCATTTTACATTGGACAGTTTTTGTTGCATTTTATATAGGACAGTCTTTGTTGCATTTTAAATTGGACAGTCTTTCTTGCATTTTACATAGGAGAACCTTGATTGATGTTTTTTTTTATTTACCTCTGGCTCGACACTTTTGTGTGTGCCAAGTTTTCATTTTGCCCATCCTCAAAACAGCAAACACTCTTTTAAATGGCCAGAACGGTCATCAGCAATGCTCTCCCATTCTCTTATATTGATGCTGTCTGCTTTTATATCTCTTTCACATGACCTTGTAGTGAAGGTGCGGTTGTCCAGTTTGTCTTGCCCACTCTGCCAATTCCTGGTATAGCAGGTGCTTATGAACATAGCCTGCTTCCATGGACCAGCTAATGAAATAGTTCCTTGCTGAGAGTGGAGAATATTCTGTACTCTCTGGCACATTCCAAAACTGTCCAGCCATGTTCTGTGCAGATGAGCCAAAAACTTCTTAGATGGAAGCTGTTGAGTTTCCACTCATGGCTTGCATATGAGGCTCCATGACATAGAAGTGCCTACTGAGCATGCATGCCTGGCAGATGCAAAGTTGTGTCCTGTCTGTGAGGTTAGGTGTTCCCCGCCCACATTTATTTATCGCTAACAAGGTTGTACCAAAATGCATTTTAATTTTAAACTCTAAAACAAGGCATATCATAAATGATGCAACAAAAGAGTTTTTCTATCACTTTCAGTGCATAAACCAGAGTTACAGTTACTAAGAACTTAATTCTATTTGTTTTAAGTGGTTATCCCAACTTTCAATGATTTCAGATGATTGGTTTGCAGGAATTTAGAAGTGAAATATTAATGGCCATAGATTTTGAATCACAGCCTAGGGTACTTGCAGTCCATAGTTCAGACTCAGGTACTTCTGGTCTGTACTTTTGTCAATATTAAAATTTGCTGTTAGTTTATAGTTGCTGTTACTTTCAATTGTTAATTGGAATTTTAATCGCACTTAGAAAAAGTTAATTAAAAATCAGCTGTTTGTCACATTGCAACATGATCAACATTTCTGGCTGGAGCTAGAGGTTTGCTATGGCTAAGGCTATTTTCATATTCAATTTCCATATTACCATCAATAGTTTTCTTTACCTCATATTATAAGGAGACCCATCTATAAGATGATGTCTAGACAAGGGAACAAATTCTTTTTAACTTCATGCAGAGGTGGTGTTGAATCACCATGCTTTTGCCAGATGTAGTAATTTATGGTAATTGTATACCAATCAACCTTCCCCCTTTATTTAAATTTATTAAGAAACCTGTCCCAATTGGCCCTACTATAAAAGCTGTGTAACTCCCCCCCCCCCTGTACATCTTTTATAACTGTACAACTTTCAGATGTGATGATGTGATGTTCACTTTGTAGTTAGCACATGAACCTAATCTCTGTGCAGCCATGTTCTCCTGCATCATGTTGGATTTCCTCTCCATTGAATCTATAAATTGTAATATAATCTGTGCATCTAAATGTATACACATTTTCTGGTATAATGTCCTGTGTGATCACTTTCTATTGTATATTTCTGTGCTCAAATATCTCTTAATAATGAGGCCAGTCATTTTTTTTTCATTTGACTTGAGAGGAATACGCTCTCAAGCCTCTTGCCCTACTTGCAACACCCTGCCCGATTACACCCATTTCTTAATTTACTATCTAAAACTCAAATAGGGGTCTATAACAGGCACAACTTTTCTCAAACCCAATAAGATAATGTATAAATATGTTCTTAAATCTTGCCAATGACTCTTCCCACTTTGAAACCAAAATCCTTTAAAATTGAACAAATGTGTAAGTCTTTTTTATTCAAATTGCTGCAAAGATCTCCTTTAAAATTGAACAAATCTGAAGCCATATTTTGAGTAAATTAAGGTACATTCACACTGCGGATTTGTTACTTGAATTCTCAACTTTCTGTGCCTACGTGCTACTCGCTGCTAAGAAAATGGGGCCACCAAGTTTCACACGTTTTTTTTTTACTCTTGCCATACATTTTCTGCTGGATATGTACAGAAACAATTGAATCATATTTTTATCACTGAGCTTGCACTATCATCATCAGCTGACAGGTTAGTGGCAAAGCAACTGGTAGAAAATATGGAGTGGACGAACAAATAAGATGAATTAAATATCAGTTAACTTGTTTACAAATGTTATAATCGATAGTTTTTTTTTAGGATGGTATAATTTGTAGTTGAAAGATTATATTTGAGTGGGCAAGACAAAAAAAATGTACAGTAGCATTGTCTATTTATAAAAAATGGAAGCAAAGATTTTAAAAAAATGTTAGGTTCTAATTTTTCTGTGCATTGGTAAAATCATATTGAAAAAAAAAGACAAATGTATTCATTTAGGTAGCCACATGTAGTCACATTATGCTGACCCTTGCACTACCACATACTTTTAAAATTCATAAATAATTTTAAAGATTATGAATCGGATCCATATTGGAGATCAGTGTGAATGCCTCTGTGGGACATCTGTGCCATTGATTCTCAACATGGATTCACTGATGAGCATTGTGGCTGCAACAAATGAGCAGTGTTAGCGTACCTTTAAGCTGTGTCCAAGTTTGCATCAAATTTAAACCTTTGTCATGCATAAGTCTTTGTTTTCTGCAACTTGCAGCTTTTGCCTGTGGTAGTGGTCGCCAACCACCAGCTTGGGAACCACAATTTACCCTTTTTTTTCCCTCTTTTTAAAAAAAATGGTAATAATTTATAAGGGGGAGAGACTGCAACCAGTTTAGCAAAAGAGAAAAGTAGTGTAACAAAGTACAAGAAAAACTGATATGCAACAAAACAACGGATGTGAAGAAACCTTCATCAGCTGACAGACAACAATAAAAACAGAATTAAATTAAAATAACACAGCTTAAATGTAGCATCCAAGAGGGCAGCATGAGAATTATTACAGAAAATAAGTAGGTGAGAGATTAAATGCAGGCTAAAGGGAAAAGAAAAGAGTAAAAGTAAGTCCACTGCGATAGGTCGTGAGGGGGAGGGGTGGAGCAAGGTTTACAATGTGAATGAGACCATGACATTAAGGTTTTCCCATACTTTTGTTTACTCATTTCTTCAATTTTTAAGAACAATCTACAATTTCTTGTGGCTCACAAAATATTTTCTTAGGAGATTTAATATGAAATTTAAAAATTGGATCCTCACGCAAAAAAAATGTGCTTACCCCCGGCCTATGGGCTTTGAGTAACTGGTACACAAAAGGTACTAAATAACCCATTTAAATTATATTAGCCCTGTGTTCAATTATAAATTCCCAATCATTGATCTTGCTTTTTCCAGTAGATGTTGTGAAATGTTACTTAAGACAAAATTAATTAAAATAAACCAACTTATTTCACTTTGCACTATAAAATAGTACACCAAATATTGCTTTAAAGACTATGCTATTTTGTGTTTTAGCTTTTGATGTCATTTTGTGTTTTTGCTAGTTTTGCTTTTCTGCTACTTACTTTGAATATTTATTTTAACAATTATTATGCATCAAGTCATAAATATATACAAATCTGTAGATTGCAATTGATATGATTTAAACATCTTATTCAAACTCTTATCTTTTATCTTAATGAAAAAAACCCAACCCTGAAAATAAAAATAAATAAATAAAAACCAAAGCATATTAACCAAACTAGTACCTCTGATTTAAATAATGTTTTGTTACCTTCAATAATTGTTACAACTTAGACCTCAAGTGATTTTATTTTAAAATAATAATTAAATTTATCTTTAAAGCTATGGTAGTTATAATTGTTTCATGATGAAAATGACATTTAAATGTTTCTTTTCCCATAGTTTACATTGTGAAAATTCATTTAAAATATTTAAGAGCTTATATATTACATTTAAAAAAAAATTAAATCCAAAAATGAAGGGGTGAATTTATTAAATGACTTTCTTTTCTACAAAATAATTGTTACAAATTAACAAAATTAAAAAGGTACTTTGATTGATTTTACAAATTACTCTAAACGTGCTACAAAATTGAAGAAGCTGTTATTATTGAGTGTTTAAACTCAATTTTTAATTATCATTGATCAGTTTAAGAAAATTGATTACAGTACATTGGCTTAATTTTGCAGATGATGAAATTATGAGAAATGATGTACCAATTTCAAAGCTACCAGTACCAGCTGTAGACAAATTAGAAAAGCCAACTTCTAAACCCCGTAAAGATTTCCCAGACACATGGCTTTGGGGCCAAGGCAGAACTAAGTAATTTTTTTATTTTTTATTTATCATTTCCTTTGGTGGAAATGTCCTTTGGTGGAAATGTCCTTTGGTGGAAATGTCCTTTGGTGGAAATGTGCAAAAGTTATGGCTGTAAACTTTATGGAGTTTTTTTATTAAAAACTGGAAGTCCACAATGTATAGGAATGTTTACATATGTAAATGAAATAGCAAAACGAGGTATGTGGAAACTTGAATTTAAGGACAGGACAATAAGATTAAAACGTTTCAGCATAGAGCCTTCCTCAGTGCACAGGACAAATGAACATATCATAAGGAACAGAGCACAACTTGAGTTGTTTACCTTAAATTTAAGCTTCCACATACCTTGTTTTGCTATTTCATCTACTTAGCTTGAATGCAGTCCTTTAATTATTACATATGTAACTAACTTTTTAAAACCAATGAAGTTTACATAGGCCTATACAATGAGTTTTTTATGACATATACAATGAGTGTTTTATGACAAAAGCTGAGTGCATCATAAAATTCCCTGGGATTATTGAATTAGTAACATTGCATTCATTTAGTAATACAGTGAGACAACAATGTGCTATGTCCACGCTCTTAACTACCTGAAATTTCATTGCACACCTTTTTATCAGTCACTGGTGACACAATCACATCTTTTTGAATGTGTAAAAATAGATAGATCACGAGATCATCAAGTTGGGTGAAAATGAAGGAAAATCTGTTTACAAAAAATAAATGATTTAAATATGAATAAAAATAATAATTACTGTTCATTATTTTTTCTTTTCTTTGTGTAAAAGTAAAGGGCTTTGACTCACATAGACACATCTGAGCTGATCCATGTAAATCACACTTCCTTCTAACCTAGTGTTGTGGAGTACTTAAAAGCAACCCCTTTGTTTAAATTCCAGCATGAATGGCAAGTTGAGCACCAAGGTGACTCTGCCAGACACAATAACGTCCTGGATGGTTTCTGCATTCGCCATCAATGACAATGGGCTGGCAGTGGGAGAAAAGCCGTTCGAGGTAAGACAGTCATCATTGTGGCCTTATATAATGGCTTTGCAAAGCTCAGTTGCCTAAACTTGTGTTTTCAGCTGGTGCCTACAGATCAGTTACAAGATCAGTTCAAATATGATCTGGGAGATGATAGAATCCAGGCATTTTAACAACTTATATAACCAAGTTTTTATGCTGTAAAAAGTCATAGGGCCAAAGTGATAATGTTTGGAAGATGTTCAGCTGATAAATTTTGAAAGCAGGATGGTCTCTAAGGAGACTGCTAGGCACATTTATCAATATCATTTACAATTTGGTTTATTTTCATGTTCTCCTGACCACGCAGCGGCTGCCGTCCTTGGAAATGGGGAGATTTTTTTTGTATGATATTTCATTTTTATTCTGATGTTTATTCATCCTTCTGATTAGTTGAAGGCTTTCCAGTTGTTTTTCCTGACCATGAACTTGCCCTACTCCATCAAGAGAGGAGAGATCTTTATCCTGAAGATCACCGTTTTCAACTACAGGAACCAGGATGTTGATGTAAGTAACTGTGTGACAGGAGAATATACAAAAGACTTTAAACAAAGAAAGTCAGTAAAAGTTTGTCAGTACCTTTATATATTGCAATGTCATAATACAGTCATCGTCGGTCTACCTCCTATTTAATTTCATTTATTTTATTTTTTTTAAAAATTATTTTGTGTCATTTCCTGTAAAACACACACCCAAAATTCTTATATATCATTTGATGCTTCAAAAAGAAACCATTTCCTGTTAGATTTGAAGGATTACCGTTCTACTCCTAACAAGCTGAGTTAGGTTTTTATTCTCTGTTGTCTCTGATTTTTTTTGCTGTTATGTTTGGTCTTTCTTCAGCTTTTCCAGTATCCTGTATTTTTATATTTGATAATGCTTCAACCTGACCACAGTCCTTCCCATATTACACTAATGCCTGTGTTAGACTATCCTCTGCATTTATAATCTGACTTCTCTCTCATGCAGGCAGTGGTTGCATTTTCCCACAGTGACCAGTACTCAGTACTGGAGAGTGAAGAGAATAATGGATGGTATGAAAAATCAGTGTCGGTAAGTGTTGTTAAAAATATCTCAAGCTCATTCTTTTTCATTATCTTGAACAAAGATTAAGACATCCATAATCACTGAGTCAAACCGTGTGGAGCTGCCACCAAACATCTTGATTAGCCAATAAAAGATAAACTAAATGTGCACAAGTCTGCCCTAGTAACATCTCTAGTGTACTTGAATTATGCAGCCAGTGTCACTATCCCCGTCCCCCTTTTCTTCCAGCTTTTACCAGTGGCATACTGTTAAATAGTGGTTTGCAAATAAAAGATAGTGTTGTTTACCCTATAGAACATTTAGTGGATTAAACTGTGGTTCACAGAGTAGGAAACTTGGACATATATATAATCCACATGTTATTTCTTCTGAACTTGAATCGCCTCCATATACAATTGGATAAGTTCTTGTTTTCATTTTGAGTGTCAAATTTTAATGGAAGTATAAAAGGTGCTAATGTTAAGTTTACAGTCTTTGGCATAAGTTATCTGTCTTAAAGATAAATTAACAATCTTAAGGATAAGTCATCAGTCTTAAGGATAAAGGATAAAGTATGTAAAAAAAAAATTTTTTTTAAATTTTTTAGTTACCCGACTAAATTTGTCAGCCAACAGGACAGCAGGTATATTACATAAAATAAATGCCACTTTCTGATTATTTCTGTGTATGTAAAACTATTAGTTAAGGTGTTTGTATTTTACTTCTATTATTTAACTATACATTCATTCAATGCAACTCTTCCAACTCAAAGATGCCAGCCAACAGGGCAGCAAGTGTGTCATTTAAAATCAATGCCACCGTGATTGGCAAGATGGAGTTACATGTTACAGCCACAGATGCCAAGGATGGACAGAAGGACGAAGTGAAGAGAGAGCTTTTAGTCAAGGTAAACATCTAATTATCCTTTCTTTAAAAAACAACAACAAAAACTCATTAAAAAATGTGACAATCTGATTGATCTAAATTGGTTAGAATATAGGCAAAAGAGTAAATCATCCAGTACACATTGGCACATAGCTCAAGGGAGTGCATGAGATAAAAATGCATAGCAATAAATAACCAACTTGTAGTGGTAGAATGTTGAAATCAGATATGTTGTGCATCCCATATTTAAAATTATCTTTGCTATCTTGTTCAATGCATTTACCAAGAGGATTTCCCTTCACCATTTTCTAGCCCGAGGGAGAGGAGAGATCCAGAGCCCTAACCAAGGTCCTGATGTTGAAGTCTGAAAAGAGCCTGAATGAGACTTTCTACATCCATTGGCCAAGTGATAAGATTGTAGCAGATTCTAAACGAGTGGAAGTCAAAGTGACAGGTTTGTGATATGTTCCAGGCAGGGGCAATGAATATGAGCAGCCTGCACAGTTTGTGATGTAATTGGTTTGATTTTAGCACATTTAATCATTCATAGTTGGTGTATAAAGTTTGATGTTACTTTTTTTTATTTTTAAGAAAATTGTCACATTTTTTAAAAAAAAAAATGGTTTGGTTGAATAAAACAGTAATTTAAAGAAGAAAAATAATTGCCAGAAATGTAAAATTTACGCGTAGAAATAATTTAGACACATTTGTTTTTAAATAAACAACATATTAATAAGTGGTTTAAAAATCTGTTTTTAGTCGTTAATTATTTATCCCCTAATTGTACATTAAGCAAATGTGATGGTTGGAGGAAGAAAGGAGAGATGCTCAAAACAGAGAAATTTGTTTCCATATTTAAGCTGCATTAGTTAAGATTATCTGCATTGCAATCAAGAAGTACCAGGTTTCAATTCATTTAGGCCTTCTCCAAACTATTAGTCAATAGTATGGACGCTTTAGCCAAGCTAGGCAGATTTTTTAAAATTCTAACCTTGGAAGGTGGAAGATGGCAGCCAACTTGGCACGGGTTTGTAATAAAAACCATCTGCCAATATAAAAAAATAGCTTTCGTCTTCCAAGTTCCTTGGAGTTGCAGGGAAAAATCCAGGAAGTTATAAAAAAAAATTTATACTTTTAAAATTCAGAAATTTGAGTTGAGTTGTAAATATTTTTAATTTAATTCTTACACTGTTTTAATTCTGTTACAATTTTTACTGTCAATTTAGCTGACAATATATGTAAATATATTTTTGTTCTTTTCCCATAGGGGATGTCTTTGGTCAGGCGCTGTCTGGTCTAGAGCAGCTGGTGACTGTACCATGTGGATGTGGGGAACAGAACATGATCACTACAGTACCCAACATCTTTGGTCTCAAGTACATCAGGGAGACAAGGCAAGAAGGAATGGAGGCTCTGCAGCTCAGCCTGATCACTAATATGAAGAGAGGTTTGTTGTGCTGCACTCATGATGAACATTGTAGTCTCTGACAAACATTAACAAGTGTTCAGGTATCTCTGCTTATTTACTGGCAGATCTTCATGTTGACCATTTTGGCTAACTGACAAATTAACTTAATGTTCTAGACTTGATACTACACTCGTGGGTAACTGATAAATTAACTTACAGATCTAGACATTACACTACACTCATGGGTAACTGATAAGTTAACTTACAGATCTAGACTTGATATTGCACTCATGAGTAACTGATAAATTAACTCACAGAGCTAGAGTTGATGCTACACTCATGAGTAACTGATAAGTTAACTTACAGATCTAGACTTGATACTACACTCATGAGTAACTGATGAATTAAGTTACATATCTAGACTTGATACTATACTCATGGGTAACTGATAAATTAACTTACAGATCTAGACTTGATACCACACTCATATTGTCCATTTTGGATAACTGATAAATTAAATTACATATCATGAATTATTTTTAAGCTTTTGAATTTCTATGGGGACTCTTAAAAAGATAACTAATCCTCTGATCTAAATCTGACACAAACGCAGACAGGGAATCTTAGTTTTCTATCAGCTCATCTGATGTTTGTTTCTATGTACCAGGATACCAGCGTCAAGTGGAAGGCTACAGACATAAGGATGGCTCTTATAGTGCTTGGGGTGAAACATCAGGCAGTCCTGGAAGTACTTGGTAAGCTTTGATGTGTTGGTAATTCTTCTTATTTAATGGAAAAAACTTTTTGATATGGTCTGATTGTCATGATGACCCACTCTTTTAGAACAACTATGGATCTGTCAAGACATTAACGTGGAGAGACTTATTGTGTTTTATTAGGAATTGGCTCAATTGTGCTTGAAAGCTGAGCATATGGTCAAATCCTCTGATTTATATTATCGAGTTTTATTGTTGCACTAGGTGGTGTTGTTTATGGCCTCGCATACCAGGAATGTAAGGTTCTCGATAAAAGTTACATTAATTCCGATGGCTACATCAATAATCAGACAAATGACATCCATGCCCTTTGATCAGGCATGTGGGACAATATGGTGTGCTGTTTCAGCACATGGCCCCTATTTCACTGAGGATGACGAAAGCAATACTATTAACATTGCCAAAGAATGCTGCAGGGGCGTGGTGATCAAAATATTTCTTCAGGATATGAGAAGGTTCTGCAGTGCAAGTAATAGGCAATGGTATCACTGAGATGGGGCAACCAGCCGTAATGCTTGAGAATCTATCGTTACTTGCCATTAACCAGATCTTACGCCACCTGATCCCTACTTGTGGGGAATGTTACAGGAGAATATGTTCAACTGTGAAGATCTGCTAAGAACTCTGTCTGCATTATGTAAGAAAATAACCTCCTTTTGCAGGAGTCTGCAGCAACCATTAGGCTTCGTGACCAGGAGTCATGTTGTGGCCGGTGGAGCTAAGTCAAATGAACATAAATGTTAACTTGATCATACATATTGCCAAAAGAATATTTTATCATGAGCCGTTCATACATATATTTTTTAATTACAGCTTAGAGGAATTCGAAATATCTCAATATTTTTGAAATATTCATTGGTTATGAGCTATTTTAAATATCCTGCATTTTTGGGAAACTTCGTAGATTTTGGCCATTTCAAATATTCCCCTATTCAGCACTCAAGGTTACTTAGTTTTTATGTCCATTGCTTGGTGTTGATAAAATTTAATATGATACTTCAACTTCTGACATATATATGTTCTGTGGTCTTCGGTGTCTTTGGGAAGCTCCCAACGCTATCAGGCTCATACCCATAACTATTTTCAGTCCAGCTTAACAAAGTTCTGTGTTATTCTGTAGTTTCGTTCTATTATAGCCATTGTTTCTGGAGAGATTTTGCAATCGACGTTTAAATATATATTTATCATATTTATAATAAGAGTTCAAACTACTTTAACCAAGTATCCTGTCTACCATATCGATTCTATAGGTAAGTAAACCCTGAAACGTTTTATTTATGTCATTTAAATTAATTAATTATTATTAATTAGTATGACCCGTCGTGTGTTTTATTTTGTTCAATTAAAAATGAAGACTTGCCATGTCATCAACTAGTAAAGATGTTGGACCAAAGATGAGAAAAATCACAAAAGAATTAAGAAGCTTTCAAGACAGGTGGACTATAAACAATTTTTTCATGGACATTAAAACGAAGCTCATATACTTGATATGCAACTAATCTGTTTTGTTTGTTTTGAAAGAGTATAACATCAAACGTCACTACAAGACTAAACATGCAAATAAGTTTAATAAGTAGAAAGGGCAATTTTGACTAGACCAAGTAAATGTATAGAAAAAGAAAAATTCTGCACAACAAAAGATATTTACTAGAGCGGGTTCAGAGTCAACATGCTTTGTAAAAACTAGTTAGGCAGTAGTCATGATACTAGTAAAAAAAATGGAGGCCATAATCAGATTGTGAAATGGTAAAGGAATGTTTGGAGAGGATCATTGAAATTCTGTGTCCAGAAAAGAAGAAATTTTCTCAAAAATAAGTCTGTCTCGTCAGACTATTTTCAGCAAGAAATTAAATCATTGTTTGCAGGCAAGTCAATAATATCCCAGAATTTGAAGACAAAGAGTGGGTTTGCTACTTTGCATTTCTGATTGATATAACTAGCCACCTAAATGACATTAATACTTGTCTAGAAAGGAAATGTCAGTTAATTAATAAGATTTATGATCATATTTCTGCATTTCAAATGAAACTTGGTCTTTGGGAACAACAGTTGAGGACAAAAAACTTTACTCAATTTTAAAACCGATTTTAGGATTTTAAAATAACATCATGTGCTTTTTTTTACAAATGGAACAGTGTGAAATGTGATACACAGTTAAAAGAGAAATGCCATCAAGTTGGTTTGAAAGAGTTTTATAAAACGTATTTAAAAGTGTGACATGTTTCCTTGGTTGAAGGGAGGCATGTTTTCATTGTTATCCTTACAACATGCAAATTTTCCATGCCTTGAAGGGTGGCATGTTTCCATGCCTTGAAGGGTGGCATGTTTTCATGCCTTGAAGGGTGGCATGTTTCCATGCCTTGAAGGGTTCCATGGTTCCATGCCTTGAAGGGTGCCATGTTTCCTTGTGTCATTAAAACTCTAGCCAAATTTTATTGGGTTGTATTTTATTTTTATTTTTCAGAAGTGTGTTTTTCCCAGACCAGGAAAAGCTGTAAAATCTTTAGGAGATTCTGTTCTATTGTCAGACATAATATACCTCATTGTGGCGCTGGTTCTATTTTAATATTAAAGTAACAAACAGTAGATCTGTTTGTGGTTATGTTAATTAACTAATTATAAAAAGTGTTGGACTGCAATAAAGCTTTAAAATATATTAATAAGACACGAACAAATTGTGTCAATATAACAATAAAAGTTATGATTTAATAATAATTATAAATTATACACAAGTAAATGTTTCGGCACATGCCTTCATCAGTACATACAAAAAAACCACATATAAATAAGTATAAATTAAATTTACATAATATCAATATACACATCCTACCTAAAACAGAAAAAATATAGGAGAGGGTGCTAAAACCAGACAAAAACAAAGTAAAGAGAAGTAGAAAGGAAGTGATTTTAACATAATTGGAAAAACCAAACAGGAAAAAGAGATGGCAGTTAGGTAAAATTGTGGATTTGGTTCATTCCATATGGAGACAACGTACCAAATCTAGTTATTAATTTGTTCTCCATATAGATTCTATCTGTAGTGTTACTAGTATAGAGTATACCAGTAACTACGATGTCTGAGTTACCATCATGGTTAGGGTTATTGAAATGTTTGGAGACCGGACAGAGCGCGTGTTTATTTATGTTATAGAGTTGCTCTCTGAACCGGTCCCCAAGGCGACAACCTGTCTCTCCTATGTATAATTTACAGCACTTTTTGCAAATGATGGTGTAAATGTTATGTTAATGCAAATATTAGGATTAATTTGAATCAACAGGCAGTTATATAAGACTGTATGGCCAGACAAATGTTCATACTTGTCAGCTGTAAACTTAGTTTTCAATGTCTTATTTTTCAGGCTGACAGCCTTTGTGGTCCGCAGCTTTTCCCAGGCATCTCAGTTCATCTCCATTGACACAGAGGTTCTCAAGTCAGGCATAGAATACTTGAGGCTTAAACAGGGCAGAAATGGCCAATTTCAAGAAGCTGGAAAGGTCTTGCATTCAGACATTCAGGTTAAGAAGTTCTATTCAAGTGTATAGATATTTTAATGCCCATGAGTTTTGTATTGAATCAGAGATCCATATTAGCATCTACAAGCTCAGGTGAGGGTTAAAAAAAAAATATATATATGCTCCTAAGTTTGTTCTACTAACGCTAACTACTCATCTAATGAGTGTAAAAGCAAAGGATTTTGGCTTTCCAGACATAAACCTTAGTAGAGAAAGATGGTGTAAGAATTCTTTTTGCTATTTCAGGCCCTAGGAATTCTCATTAGTGTTGAATAAATTTCCAGTAATTCATATCCTAGTACTTTTAAGCTAGTTGTTAATCACTCAATCGTATCTTATTATAAAATAGAGATATTCAAGTCCAATTATTTCCAGGAACACAGCTTATGACATTGATAGTTGTGATATTTATTTCACTATTTCATGCTGTCCAGTTTCCTGTGAGGCTTTAGATATAGAGTTGGACATTTTAATATTTAAGTATTTAAAATATTTCTTTCTAAATACTATTTGTTTAGTTTTGAATTAAGATATTTTTTTTCTTTTTACTGATCACCTACTGTGTTTCATATCATATATTAGTATTAGAGTAGTGAATCTGTGTTATTTTTACCCTTTAAATGTTCACTCTCATACTACTCATAGTTGCAGCCCCTTCATCCCCTAGACCAACAACCCAAATCTTCTTTTTTTAGTCACATCCTATGATTAGTGTAACAACATACCTACAATTATTCCTGTGAAATGTTTTTACACTCTGAATGTGCATATCATGACTTGTGCAGTTTAACAATCTTTGCATAACATCTGTGGCATAATCTTGCTTTGATAGAATTTGTGTATTTTCAGGCAGGCACTGGTTCAGGAGATGGTCTCACTGTCTATGTCCTCATTAGTATGCTAGAAGCATCAAAAGCTCTCGGTGAGGTGAGTCAGACATATTAGCTGTTATTGTTTTAGGACTGCAATGTTGCCTTGTGAAAAAATAAATGTGTAGTGGTGGTGTGTGTTTTTAGGAGCACTGGCATATGCCCCCATTTAAACTTCAGGAGAAATAAACAATGATGACCCCCCTTTTTTTTGTGGTGGTGTGTGTTTTTAGGAGCACTGGCATATGCCCCATTTAAACTTCAGGAGAAATAAACAATGATGACCCCCCCTTTTTTTTTTTTGGAAATGGACGGTTACAGTAACTTTTTTAGCTTTGCAATGTATTTGTTTTTTTTAATCTTTGAATTTGATTGTTGTGCAAGTGCCTTTAGGTAGTTTTCATAAAGCCCTATTGTAAAGCCATTTACACATTAAAAAAGCATACCAACATTTAACCATAATCGGCACCATAATCAGCACCATAATCAGCACCACTCAAATGCTTTGAGCACACTCTTCAATAGTTCTCAAAAAAAGAAAGAAATATAATTTCTTCCCCTGCATATGTGCCTTTTTTGGCCTCATCAACCACAGAGCAGTCAACTCAACATGAAGCAGGAAGTGGCGGCTGCCACCCAATACATCAGTCAACACATGAATGCAGAGACATTGAAACAGACGGGCAACAAATTCCTGGCTGCCTTGGTGGCATACAGCCTGTCATTGGTCAGTGATAATCAAAATATTGGCCAGATTGATCAGCTGCTTAGCTTTGTCGCAGGTAAGGTTTATTTTTTTTTTAAAACTAGCTTCATAACAAGATCTTGGGAAGTGGCCCCTTCACTACCACAGTTTGTGAATTAAAGCGACATAAGCTTTGTTTGTGATTCGTCATCACAGAACATGTCGAAATCTTGCTTAAATTTTTGGGGGTCTTAGTTCTTGATTGTCTGTGTATTTTATTACATTTTAAAAAGAGCATAGTAAATTTTTTATTACTAATGACCTGGATTATTGAAGATGGTTTGAAAATTTGCTGCTCAATTTCAGCAACTAAGGTTTACTTTATGAAAGAAAAGTGCTCGGTAAACTGAAAGGAAATCATTTGTACGAGCCATAAAAAAAGCTTTGTTAAATGTGTTTATTTGTTAATAAAACATGCAGATTCCAGGCAACTTTTTCGCTAAATTATATTTCGCTTAACTTTTAGATTAATGGGACAAACAATTTATGATATAGATTTTAAACAATGTATGTTAAAAGATTTCATTAATTGGAAGGATTTTTATTGAAATATATAAATGCATTTCCTATTGGACAGATTTGACATTGTCTCAGCACTATTACTAGTATTACAGCTCAAAGTCAATGGTGTCTCAGCACTATTACTAGTATTACAGCTCAAAGTCAATGTTGTCTCAGCACTATTACTAGTATTACAGCTCAAAGTCAATGTTGTCTCAGCACTATTACTAGTATTACAGCTCAAAGTCAATGTTGTCTCAGCACTATTACTAGTATTACAGCTCAAAGTCAATGGTGTCTCAGCACTATTACTAGTATTACAGCTCAAAGTCAATGTTGTCTTAGCACTATTACTAGTATTAGAGGTCAAAGTCAATGTTGTCTTAGCACTATTACTAGTATTACAGCTCAAAGTCAATGTTGTCTTAGCACTATTACTAGTATTAGAGGTCAAAGTCAATGTTGTCTTAGCACTATTACTAGTATTAGAGGTCAAAGTCAATGTTGTCTCAGCACTATTACTAGTACTACAGCTCAAAGTCAATGTTGTCTTAGCACTATTACTAGTATTAGAGGTCAAAGTCAATGTTGTCTCAGCACTATTACTAGTACTACAGCTCAAAGTCAATGTTGTCTCAGCACTATTACTAGTACTACAGCTCAAAGTCAATGTTGTCTTAGCACTATTACTAGTATTAGACGTCAAAGTCAATGTTGTCTCAGCACTATTACTAGTACTACAGCTCAAAGTCAATGTTGTCTCAGCACTATTACTAGTACTACAGCTCAAAGTCAATGTTGTCTTAGCACTATTACTAGTATTAGAGGTCAAAGTCAATGTTGTCTTAGCACTATTACTAGTACTACAGCTCAAAGTCAATGTTGTCTCAGCACTATTACTAGTATTACAGCTCAAAGTCAATGTTGTCTTAGCACTATTACTAGTATTAGAGGTCAAAGTCAATGTTGTCTCAGCACTATTACTAGTACTACAGCTCAAAGTCAATGTTGTCTCAGCACTATTACTAGTACTACAGCTCAAAGTCAATGTTGTCTCAGCACTATTACTAGTATTACAGCTCAAAGTCAATGTTGTCTTAGCACTATTACTAGTATTAGAGGTCAAAGTCAATGTTGTCTCAGCACTATTACTAGTACTACAGCTCAAAGTCAATGTTGTCTCAGCACTATTACTAGTATTAGAGGTCAAAGTCAATGTTGTCTCAGCACTATTACTAGTACTACAGCTCAAAGTGAATGTAACAAATCATTTTATGAGTGTCAAATATTTTGTTCACAATTTTTGCACATAAACTAATCATATCATACTTTTCATTCCCCTTTTTTAAAAAATCTGATGACTTATTACCTATATAAATGGGAAAGGCTTTCAGAATTCTCATGAGTGAGACTCTTGTTCATTGATCATTGTTCTTTTGTAAGGCAAATATAAAAAAGCTTTGGCCATAATCAGAATAAGAGAATCTGGTTCCTTGCTTCTAACCAGGAGCTGAAAAAAATCAGCATTAATTAATATCATCGGCATAATTGTAGATGCAAATAGTAGAAATAAAAAACTTCATGCTTGCAACATAGATGTATGGTTGTGTATTCCTCATTTTACATTGTTTCTAAATTTTTAAAATATCCATCATACCTTTAAAAAGAAATAAAGTTTGATGTGTGCAGGAAAGGGGCTAAAAATATAAATATTCTGGGTGTCTTGAATCATTCGTCAAAAGTATCCAGTGAATCTGATCCTTCGCACACGAGTTTAGTGACAGGTATTGTGTAGTTGTCACATATAGTATAGATTTCTGATTGAAAATGAGAAGAATTTCTTTCTTTGTATACAGATTCTAAAGCTCCGTGGCTAGAGCAAACTGGTCAGCAGAAATTAAAAATGGCAGGTGACGTCAATCAAGCAGACCAGAATATTGACTCAGGCTATGGGGTTAATCCACATGCCTCTAAGGACTTAGAAATTGGAGCCTACGTTCTTCTCACCTACACACACCTTGGACGTTTAGCTGAAGGCTTTGAGCTAATGAAATGGCTGCAGTCTCAGCAGAACAGCAAGGGTGGTTTTTACAGCACTCAGGTTAAGTATTTGATTCCATTCTGAAATAGGAAGAAAAACAAATCTGGGTAGTTTTGAATTTCTAATCATCATAGGTAAGAAAGTTGTGATGGATAAGAAACCCTTGGTGCCAATCTGTTATGTTTGAGTTAGGCCCCAGAGTCCGGTTGTTATAATTTGTTAATTCTCTCTAAACTCAAAAATAATTAAGTCTCTCAAACTTAAAAAACTAAAACATTTAGTGTTGTTTATATTTAGCAAATGTTCAGTTTTCATGTTTCTTTTTGTGTTTCCATTTAAAATTGGCCAAAGTCAGATCAAATATTGAAATTAGTGGATTTCACAGATTCTCAGGTGACAGTTGGCTCTATAACAGACCGTCAGGATAATTGATGTAGATTTTTTGCATACATATAGGTACATTCCGACCCCCCCTCTCCCCCCCCCCGCTCCCATCAAAGCTGTCATACAAATCCTCAGCGAGTACGTAATATTTGGGTAATAAGGGGAGAGAAGCCTTCGTCAGCGAACAAAACGATAGAAAAAACAAAATAGAATTAAAGTTTTAAAATAGCACTTAGCTTAGAAGTATTATCCGAGGGGGCAGCAAATGAATTGTGACGGAAAGTAAGTGGGTGAGAGATTAAATAGGGAAGAGGGAAACAAATTTGTTAAATTTCACCACTAACTTTATTTTTACCAGTGACAGACTGTGATAATGTGATCTGCACGTTCACCTAAATATTACTTGAATACAATCACACTGGACAACAAGGACGCAGAAAAAGCGTGGACCACGATTCGTGAGACGGTCTATAATACAGCCGCTGAGCGCCTCGGACCCTCTACGAGGAAACTCAGGGACTGGTTTGACGAAAACAACACAGCGATCCAAATGCTAGTTGAGCAAAAACGCCGAGCGTACAAGGCCCTCCATAATGACCCAATGTCAACAGCAAAGACAGCTGCACTTAGGGGCATCCGCAGCAAGGTCCAGATACAACTGTGCCAGATGCAAGATTCCTGGTTGAATTCAAAAGCTGATGAAATACAGGGCTTTGCAGACAAGAAAGACATGAAAAACTTCTACCGTGGCCTGAGAGAAATCTATGGTGTTGCCACCTCAGGCTCTTCCCCTCTCCTTTGTGCTGATGGTTCTACGCTCATTACAGACAAAGAGAAAATCTTGGAAAGTTGGGCGGAACACTTTGAAAGTGTGCTCAATACACCTTCCATCATTAACGATGAGGCCATTGAAAGACTCCCCCAGGTCCCAACGAACAATTCACTGGACGCCGTTCCAACTTTTGATGAGAAAAAGACACTGATCCGCCAAATGTCCAATGGCAAAGTACCTGGCCCCGACATGATTCCTGCCGAAATCTACAAGGAGGATGGACCAGCGCCGACGGTTAAGCTATTGCGCCTATTCCAAATCATCTGGCAGACGGAAACTGTACCACAAGACCTCAAGGATGCCTCAATTATCCACCTGTACAAACGCAAAGGAAACCGCCTGGCATGCGACAATCACCGCGGAATTTCACTACTGTCCACTGCAGGCAAGATCTTGGCCCGAGCCCTTCTGAACCGCCTGAATGCACATCTGGAGCTAGGTCTCCTACCCGAAAGTCAATGCGGTTTCGGCAAAAAACGTGGAACCATAGATATGGTGTTTGCTGCTAGGCAGCTTCAATGAAATGCCAGGAACAAAATACAGACCTATATACTACATTTATCGACTTGAATAAGGCCTTTGACAGGGTCAATAGAGGTGGCCTGTGGAAAATCATGAAGAAATACGGATGCCCAGACAAGTTCACCAGCCTCATCCGTCAGCTGCATGATGGTATGATGGCCTGAGTGCAGGACAACGGTCAATCATCTCAAGCATTCCCCGTCACAAACGGTGTAAAGCTGGGTTGTGTTCTTGATCCCACACTCTTCAGTATTATGTATTCCGCAATGCTGTCTGATGCGTTTAAGGACCCCACCACGGGCTTGCCAATCCGGTTTTGCACCGATGGATCAGTATTTAACCTTAGGAGGCTTCAAGCTAAAACCAAGGTCAAACATACCACGATCGACAAGCTTCTGTATGCAGACGATTGTGCCCTCAACGCTCCCTCAGAAGCCGTCATGCAACACAGCGTTGATATCTTCTCTGAGGCCTGCAATAACTTTGGCCTCACAATCAACACAAAGAAAACTGAAGTGATGTATCAGCCAGCTCCCAGTAAGCCCTACATTGAACCCAACATCATCATCAGTGGACAGCGTCTCAACTCGGTGGATAAATTTACTTACTTGGTCAGCACCCTATCTAGATCTGTCGTCATGGATGATGAAATGAATGGCAGACTCGCAAAAGCTATAGTGTCATATTTGGCAGGCTCCGCAGCACTGTTTGGGACAGGAGAGGTATCAGATGAGAAACAAAGCTCAAGGTCTATAGCGCAGCAGTCCTCCCGACACTGCTCTATGGATGTGAAACGTGGACAGTCTACCAGCGTCACGCCAAGACACTGAATCATTTTCACACTACCTGCCTCAGGAAACTCCTCGACATCAGGTGGCAAGACAAAGTCCCTGACACCGAGGTCCTCGCTAGAGCGAACCTACCAAGTATCTTCACGACTCTGATGCAGTCTCAGCTCCGTTGGATGGGACACGTAGCCCGTATGGAAGACCACCGGCTCCCGAAACAATTATTCTTCGGAGAACTCACGATAGGCAAGCGCTCCCAAGGAGGTTAAAAAAGCGTTACAAAGACTCACTGAAAGTGGCACTAAAGGCCTTCAGCATAAACCCTACTCAATGGGTGCAGACAGCCCAGGACAGAGCCAGGTGGAGAGCTGCTGTCAAGAAGGGGGCTAAATCCCATGAAGCTAATAGAATAACCACAGCTGAGACACGCAGGCTTGTCCGAAAGAGCAACATTAGGTCACCGTCTGAAGCAACTATTCCATGCCCACGGTGTCATAGATTATTCCGAGCAAGGATCGGTCTAGCAAGCCACCTACGAGCTCACCGTAATCCCAACCTCCCCCTAACCGGATGACTCGATGGTCCTAGTCGATTTCGGCGGACGAACAACAACACTTGATATCTATAGCAGATACACGTGTTCACGTCTGCCAAACAAAATGACCGCAGTTTGCAGTTAACGTTAGTTATCTCCTGTTTACCTTCAGTGCCATTTTTTTTACGCCAACTTAGCTTGATTCCCCCAAACACACAATGCCAGTAGTTATTGTACACATTAGATAGACTGTAGTTTTATTTATTTACTATTAAGATAATGTATTGTACGATTTTAGGAGTTTTAGGGTAAACAGATCTGCAGTAAGCTTCTTTATTTGCATAAGTGACATGCCTAAAGACTTAGAACTTCTCGTATGTAGTTTTTGAAATGTTGCATTTTGTATTTCAATGTGGTAAAATATTTTTTTTTTTTCATTTCTCTTTTAATAAGGATGACTTTGTATGCGCTTCGAGCCTTTAGGGATGAAGCGTGATTTTAAATAAGCTTTATTATTATTATAATTTTCACTGCGACTGAATCACTTATTTAGTTAGTGATGGCTTAAGTTTATTTACTCCATAATTTTCTACTTTAGGCCTATACAACTGCTGGCTGTCAACCAGAGCTTTACTTTTGTAGTCAGAAAATTAACCTGTTACAATCTCCTGTGAATTTTCTCAGACTGCTTTCTTAGACTACCACAGTAGTTAAACAATCAGCCTTGCACAGTTTCCTGAGAATCTTCTTAAACTGCTTTTTTAAAATACCACAATAGTATTTAGTATTTCTAGGCTAACGATTAACCACTTACACAGTTTTGTGTGAATTTTCTACAGCCGCTTTCATAGATTTAGAATAAAATTGTTGTCCAGCAATGAAATTCATACAGTTGTATGTTAATTCTTTAACAGGACACCGTCATGGTGTTGCAGGCACTGTCTGAGTTTGGATCAAAGTTCAATAAACTCAAGGGTCAGGAGGCAACTCTAAGTATCACAGAACCAGCCCAATTCCTATTTAATGTGTCAGGGTCAAGGTCACTTCTGCTGCAGACAGCAGTGGTAGGTTTTGAATGTTTACTCGATTTGTATCTTTTTTTTATTTTGCTCTAGCAGATTGAATGACCTTATTTTACAAATAAATTTGAAAAGTTCTGTTACAAAATATCAAAATTCAATGATGGGGTGTATTTTAATTTAAATGCAGCCATAAAAATAAAACTTCGATGGAGAAGAGTCAGGTAATTTGAGTGTTTCTATTGGCTGAAAGTCTTCATCTTTTACTTCATTTTAGTTAATAACCTTACTAGTCATTTGTTAAAATCTAGGGATATATTAAAAAAAAAAATAAATCTTGAAACCTTAACATTATTTCTGTTCAGGTCACCCATTTAAATTCATCATTAAATCTCACAAACTTAATTATATTAAGACATTCAGATTTTGAATCTCATGTACAGCTTCCTAGTGAAACTGAGAAGGTCCAAGTGACAATGACTGGTGAACATGACAGCATCGTTGTAGTTAAAGTGAGTGCAAAATAAGAAATATAAGTGTTTTTAGATACATCACAGAAAGGATTTATTAGAGTGTGAAGAAAAAAGAGGTTCACTGATCTCATGTATACTTGTTAGTCTCAGAGATGGCATGATGGCTGCTATGCACTACTGTTAAAAGAGCCCAATATTCCCTTGTCACTAGGTTGTTTACACCTACCACACACTTGCTGGAGATGATGACACAGTCCCACAAGAGTCAGAATTGTCCATAGTCACCAAATCTACAAAAGTCTCAGAAAATATGCACAAAGTTGAGGCCTGTGTAAAGAGGTAATCTACATTATACCAGCCAAAGGCCCAGGAAATGCAAACAATTAAGTCAATCTTGTCACTAAGGGATTTCATTGATGGTTGATTTCTACGCAAGAGAAATACTTTAGATATCTTGTGTATAAATTGTTGTAAGAGTAAAATGGTGTCGTTTTAAAATATATATTTATTTTATGTGCTGAAAAGGAATATTTACAATGTAATAAAAAAAATCATTTCCATTTCTTTGGATTAATAAAAGAATATTTTTTTGTCTTCAAATAAATTAGCTTCTTTATCATCTTCATTTTAAATCTAGTCATAAGAAAAGGTGATAGACTTAAGTAAAACACAAACTTCCAGTGAAATGAAGACAAAATGTATTAAGTAAGAAACAACAGGCTAGAATAAAAACACCAATAATAATAATAATTGTGACCACTAAACAATTTGCAGTTGTTCCCACTCACTTATAAATGTTGAGCTTTTTTAAAACGAAACTTTTAAAACTGATTCCTTCCAGCTTGGGCACCCTCACTTACAATGGTATGTTTGTGACGAGTATTATTCTGCCATCGGGAGAGAAGCCCTACGAGGACTCAGCAACAATTTTGTCCCACAATCCTAGGGCTTCACGTGTGGATACAGATGAAAAGGCCATACATTTCTATATGGATAGCGTATGTATTATTTTTTTTATATTTGACATGGCATAATGTTTGGATTCACACATATGGTCTCATTTTCTGATTACTAAAGCACCCCACTACCCTTTATGCCGCTACAATTTTTTTTACTTACTTATGTAAGTTTGCCATGATGGCAAACTCATTTTCATTATTTTTTTATGCAGTTACAATAAGTTTTATGATTTTTCAGTTGTGCTACAATTCTTATAATTTGTTATGTGCAGAAATCGCTAACTATGATTTGGGATGTTAATAATTTTTTTTGCCATTCTAGTATCACTTTTATGTGCGCTCATTAAAATGTATAAGAACCTTCAACACCTCCTCAAAGACAGAAGATGCGTTAATCAGCAATAGGCATCTGCAACGGTTACTCAATAATTTTTAAACATTCTTTTGGTATTGCAACTCATTAAATCTTTTTATGGTTTGGATTATTAAAAAAAGTTACTGATATTACTTTGCTTTTGCACTCTGTACTAAAATTTCAAAATTGGCACTGCATGTTAGTCTCATATGCATAAGCAGATTGTTATGTTCTGTTATCAGTATGGAGAAATTAATCTCTTATTTAAGTATATAGCTCGTTCTAAATCAGTACACAACAAAAGACAATACCGTATGTTAAATACCATAACAAAGAATACGATACTCAAACCAAGGCAAATCACAATTAATAAATTTATTAGGTTTATAATAAATTTCAAAATCAGAAATAAATAAATCTATTGACTTACAGTATAATGATTGGCTTGTACTGGTACAATGTTGAAGAAGATACAATGTTCTTAAAAAGGTAAAAATGATGAAAAGGAATCTACACACACATCAAAATGTTAGTAAACAAATCTCTGTCTCTTATAGAAAATCTCTCTTATCTGATCTTGCCCTCGCTCAATCTCTCTAGGTGTATATACAGCCTGTTTCATAGATACCTCTTGAACGGACTTACACATTCTATTCCTTTCTTGATATTTCTACAGAATTATACTGAATTCTAATAATAATACAGACCATAGATGTTAGATAGTTGTAACCAAGGTCAAGAGAGAATATATTTAGTTAGCCACACCCTAATAGTGCTGCCCAACTTGGGGTCAGCTTAAGTTTATTCACCAGAAAGATGAATGAAAGTAAACGAGACGCCAATAACAAGATTTACGAGAGTTGATTCTTTTGTAAGAAGATAGTTGCCCCATTGGTCTATATTTTTACCGGCATCATCGAGACAGGCTGTACAATTTTTAAAATTGACCACATTGATTTCCACCTAAATTTCACTATGATGTATGATGGAGCCTTTATCATTGAAATACTGCAATGGGCTTTATTAAACAATTTATAAAATTGTTTTAAAAAACCTTATTTTAAGGCAGATATCATTTTCCCATTCATGAATGAAGACTTTTTATTAATGTCACATAGTTTCCTCTTGCATTTACCTACTGATATAAACAGGCGCCTGGTGATGGCTACTGCCTTCATGCTCACCTTGAGCGACAACTGGACTTTGAAGTTCAGAAGCCAGGCTCTGCCAGAGTTTATGCTTACTACAGCCCAGGTAATGACAGCCTACTAAATGAACTAAAACATTGACTTGATATAAATGTTATACTTTATAATTTGATGTATTTTATGTTTATAAGAATACTTGAGTTCAGATGTTGCCAGATTTATTACTGATGAATTTATTCAATACAGAGAATGCGAAAGAAGTGGCCTTGGTCCTAGAAGGCAAGTCAACGATGTGCAGCAGTGACCACTGTGAAACCGATGGTGCCATCATGATCAACGTGGCCAGTCTGTTCCTAACTACAACCATCTGCACCCTTGTTGCCCTGTTGATGTGTATTTGAACAGGAAAGAAGGAACTCAGCTGAGCTTTTAGGTAGCTGCTAGGACTCCACAGTCAGATCTTCTTTTAATGAAATATGCAACAGTTTGTTGTTTCTTACTATGTGCATTACATTTGTGACAGATTGAAACTTCTCTGATCAAGATCACTTGGCATTTTATGCTTCAGAACAGTTCATATACATATATTTTTAGAGCAATACGGGGACAACTGCAATAAGAAATATTCAAAGGGTAGAGGAAAACACGAAGACAGACAATGACAGAAAGTAAATGCTTCTATCAAAAAGCATTGGACAGGAAACACAGTTGAAGACAGAGACAAACACTCTTACTTTTTTTGCTGTCCATGGCTTTTTTGGTTGAAACTTTTACTTTCTGCTACTGTCCTTCAGATTTGACTCTACCCTTTGTGTATTTCTCATTTTTAGAGCAGAACTCTAACAAAATGACACAACCTTTTAGGTGATCATATATTAGACATACAGACAACTCATGATGCTATTGATCAATGGAGACGCCAAAATATAAAAGCTGTCAATGACCTTGTCTCAACACATGATGACCGAAAGGATCTGCATCAAGTAATGGATATTTTATATTTGAAAAGTTAGACTAGCAGTAGCCTTACTCATAAAATAGTTGTTCTGCAAGTTAGGAGTTACATGCTTATTATAACAGACATTTTAAAGAATAAATATATGAATATATAACTAAGCAGTGGATTCAGTTTACTCAGTCCAGCAGTTAATATGGTGGCAGCTCATCAAAAACAAAAAATAATATAATCAGAAGTTGCCAGCCTAGACTTGCACCCAGGACAGTAAATTAGTGGGAGAAAGTTGGTGAAGATTAGCAGCAAGACCATATTCTGCAGTCTAGGGATTCTCTGGCCAGGAGATAATGTCATACAGGTAATGGGGAGATTAAGTGTTACAGTTACAGGTAATGGGGGAAAAAAGTTTTCATCTTGGAATACACATAAGAACGAAAATTTTACAATAGAAAACTCTAACTTTCAGAATGCTATTGTGGCTATTTTTAGCCAATGTTAGTTATTTTGTGTCCATTTTATTTTAAATTTGTTTCATATTTCATAAACTATTTATTTATTCTCTCCCTTTGTCACACTTTAAAAGGAGTCTCTTATAATTGTTTGAGTCACTAAATGGGGTCTAAATTCTGAACCCACTAAAGAGAATTCATTGGATGAGAAAACAAATGAGCCAGTGGATAATTTTGTCTCTACATGTTGTGGTGCCCGGTAACTTTAATTGTTGGGTAACTGTTGTTTGACCTGTCTTTCAAGCACTTATTTTAAGGCATTTTTGTTTTCTTTTTTTATACCCCCCAAGTATATCATATTCCCATTGCAACAGCTTACAGACAAGTTGTTTACAGTGCTGCGGTGCTGGTACTCTCGACTCTACAGCTCTGGTTCTGTGATCAAGTCATTTTGTTAATGATGTGTATTCAAGGTATTGTTGTATTCAGGTCTTTCAAAGTACTTAAATGTATTTTGAGGGGGTCTGCTAGATAACATAATGATTTCTGTTTATGAACAGCTAACCGTTTCTTCCATCTCAAAGTTTTATTGACAACATTCAAGATTTATTTTAAAATGGGAAACTTCTTATGCACAACACACTCAATTGATCTCATATGGGAGAGAGGGCCAATAATCGTCTTAAAACATTAAATGAATCCTAGCTTCTAAAAATCACAGATGTGAAAGATGGAATCCCATCTTGTAATTCCTAATGATGGTTAATTATTACCTAATATTAAACCTGTGTTTTGTTAACAAAGTGTTTTTAAAATAAAAAGTTTCTTAGTGTATTTTTAATTTATATTAAATATGTGTGCAGCACCCTTTTTAATCTATATCCCTGTAGAGCAATAAGTCTGCTTATGATAAAGTTGTTTTAATATAGCAATATACATTTCATAAACAGTGTAAATACATTAATACTTTTTTTAACCTTAACTGCTTTTTTTGTTTATATTAAAAATGTCATTTAATGATTGCACAACAAGAAGGGAAGATTTGGAACATTGACCCCAACTGTTTATAGTGTGTTCCATTCATAATGTTGAGGAAATGAAAAATATCTAAAAGTAACAATTTTTTCAACCTTTTCTTGTTGTGTCTATTTTGTGTGTGTCCATATTGGTACATGATCATGGGCGCCCGCAAGGGGGGGGGGGGGGGGAAGGGGGGGCCTTGCCCCCCCCCCCCCCCTGGATTGATTGGATAAAATTTTTTTAGACAAAAATAAACAAAAAATGTATTAAAGTAAAGAGAAAATAAAGAGAAAGTAACTAAGCTGATGTCCTGTCCGTTCGTTCACCATACAAATAACTACAGTAAATTAAAACTATATTAAAACATTACTAAAAAAAAATTTGCCCCCCCCCCTGGAAAGTTAATAGATTTTTTTGCCTCCC